AATTACTTGGGCGTCGCCCAAATAAAGTAATCGAGATTCAAAGTTGCAATAGGCACGCAATACGTGCGAAAGTAAACAGGCCAAGCGATGCGACTAGAATGTGTAACCACCCAGCATTTATCCTCGTTACATAAGTCCCACAGATAACGCACAGCAAACAAATAGGCAATAGAAATCAAGCGTATTGAAAAAACAAGGTACACTGAGTGAAACAAACTATTAAAATAATCTATATTTTCCCTTTGGAAATTAATTGTCCTCGCAGCATACGGCGTGAATGTTTTTCCTCCGGACCACAAGACGGTTTTTGCTCGGAAAAGATATACTTATAAATCTCAAGCATTCGGCATTTTTTATCTTACCTAGAAGCCGGGCGATTTTTGAGAAAGTGGAAGGAAAATCTGTCGAAAATAATTGGCCCAAGAGTTTTTGCCTTTAGTTGTCGAGAGCCAAAGAAGATGTCACGCAAAATTCCGTTATTGGGTAACATTGAATGATGCATAATTTCATTGCAGTTTTTCGGAAAGGACGTAATTTCTTCAAATCTTATCGAGCAAAATGATCTCGTAAACAAGTTGCATTCTTTCAGGTTTGGAACCTTAAAAGGGGCAGAGTCCAACATCTTCACGTGCAAACTACGTTCGTGACAGTTATTTTTAAAACCCTTGCGTTAATTAGATTAAGTTGTATTTTCTCGTACAGACGTACACGAACCACCAAAGCGGCAAATTCCGAAGCTTTAAAACGCGCAACGTGCAAAATGCGTAACAATACAACTTACAATAAGGGCCTGATCACATGAACCGGGCTGGCTAGCTCTGCCGAGGTGACTTTTATCTCGGTATTACATGAAAAGGGCAAGTCCGGAGCCGCCATTTTTATATAGAGCACGAGCATGATCAGTGTGTTACCCGTGTTCTGTTTCTCGCTTGGTTTATTCGCCGCGCCGCCCAGCAAACGTTGGAAAGTTTCCACTCGGATTCCCGGCATCACAACACTGGGATCCCAGCTAACTGGGCTGGCTCGGTTGACATATTTTTGTTCCGTGTAACTAAGGTACCAAGATCTCTGCAAAGCGAGCCAGCCTGGCTCATGTAATCAGGCCCTTAGTTCTGTAGCCAGATTTTACGCCCTCCCGCTTGACCTTACCGATGCTTCAAAGCCCCCCGAACGCACACACACACGTACACACACACACAATCAGAACGCAGCATTGATAATAGACCACAAGTTGCATTTTACTAAGTAGAATTAGCCAGGGCTAAAAGCGAAGCTCTCGATAATATTTATAGTTTGTTCAATGTTTGTTCAAACAAAATATAAAATCGTGTAATCCTGAGCGGCGAATGCAACGCAGGAGAACGGTGAAAAACAACAATAGCTAATTAGCAAAAAAGCAACTTTGCACGTGCAGCACACTTTTTTTCAACATTTCTTTGCCGTTGTCTTGCAGGACTACAACTTGAAACTTCTAGAAACTTCTTAGTTACACGTTTTATGGAGAAAATGTCGTACGTGTTCTCGTTCACTTTTTTTTCACGGCCGCTCATTTTCACCTTGCATTGGTGGCCGCTAGCATTTCTCATTTTGTCACCGCCGCTACAAAATTTAAAGGCTAAAATTAGAAAAATATCATAATTTTAAATTAATAATATTTATTGTGAAGATTTAACAAACAGTTCTTCACTCTAAGCAATTAACTTAGCTGTTTTTCAAACAGCTTTTTGGAAACTCTTAAAAAGTATTGTTTAAGTTACCGTAAAATTCCGAAAATAAGCCCCTTCATGTATAAGCCCCTCCAAATATAAGTCCCCCAAATTCGTAACGCAAAAAACCCTCCGTTAAATCGCCCCTCCAAATATAAGCCCCCCGGGGGCTTGTACTTGGAAAATTGAAATCAAATACAAAGTAAAACAAAGCAAAAATGGTAAATTTACTTCTAACTATAAGGTTAGCTCAATCGATTTTGAAACGCAAATTTCCCTCCGTAGATAAGCCCCTCCGAATATGAGCCCCTCCAAAAATAAGCCCCTTGAAAAGACCCTTTGAAAAATATGAGCCCCGGGGCTTATTTTCGGAATTTTACGGTATGTCTAAAGATAGCTGTGCATATAGATTATATCGCTATTGACATCGAGTGTCAGTAACGTTAAATGACGATGTGGTCTCGCGGTCATAAAAACGTCAGCTATGAGCGATACGACGGACACATTATATTTTCAAAGAACCATTGCACAATTTACCAACAAGAACCTTTTTACCCCCCCCCCCAACAAGAATCTTCTTACAAAAAGCAGGTCCTAAAACATTCATTTATTGCAGTTCGATAGAGCTTTTATTGTCCTACAACCAGAATTAATTAAAAGTGATCGTATCGTCAAGATGGGGAGGGCAGGAACTGACCGGGCAAAAATAGCTTAGTTTAGCTTACTTTTTAAAATTTGGCTAAAACGGTTGTTTTTCTGTTAATGTTGTTTTTTCTCAAAAGCATGTAGGCTGTGATAATCAAATTAATGCTGCTTTGAACTGGAGTCCAGCTAGGGGTTAGCAGGGGAACAGTGTGGGAGTCTGGGAAGTGTTTTGTCCTTATGAGCCACCGTAGGGAGTAGCACGACCTTTGAAACGGGTGGCTTAGTTCATTTTCAGTACCGGTTTTACGCATCAGAGGAGCTTGATATCAGAAACGTTTTTCATGGGGACAGCTTACAAAGCCGATGTGGTTAAACTTCCCTCTACAGCTCAAATCGCGAAAATATCCCAACAACTTGGACACGATTTAGTGAACGCAGAAATTCAGGAATATAGAGGTTAGTCAGGTTTTAGTTTTGTTTATTCATAATTTATTAAGTTCGGGTCAAATGGCCTGTCTACCTTATTCTCGATAATCTCATCTGCTTTTTCAGTAAGCCAGTACTAAAAATATTTTAGTTCTGTTTTTAGTAAGGCTGCAGCTGTGCTTTAAATTTTGAAGTTCGGATTGCGTACTTTAATTTAGCAAAAACACAGCATCACGCAATCGCTCCTTTTCCTGTTGGAGGCCGGAACGCGACAATGTTCAGTCATGCGGCGACTGGGTTATCGTCAGCTGAAATCTCAGCGAGTCAACCAAAGCCTCACAAAGCTTTTATCTCAGTTCACGGATTAGTGAAGGCAATTTGCTAGGTTTCTGTGCTCGGCCAGCAGGCGTTTCGATCTTGTCTTGGCCCTATTGTTAACTTAATCGCTGATTACCATTTTCAGAATTAAAATATTTCCCCTGCTTTACGATCTTCGTCAACAACACAACTTGCTCCTAGATGTCCATCAATAAAACGGAGTGCATGGCAACCGGCGCTCTATGTATTCCATTTCCAATTGGTTCTGATTTCAAAGTTTGCGTAGCAGTGTCAAAAAAACAATAGGTTTTATTAGCAAAACAACAACTTTGCACGTGCACCACGCTTTTTTGTACATTTCTTCTGCCCGTTTTTGCATGACTACGAAGTAAACATGTCTAATTCCGCATTTTATGGAGGACGTAAACAAGCAACGACGAAATTCTATTTCTCTTTCTGTACTTGTGTGTGGTGCCTAGGAATTCAACTCCAGGAGGGTTCGCCTACATTTGACAAAGTAAGTGGGTAGGAATAATTGCGATAAAGAATGAAACAACGCAAATTCACTTTTTAAGCGACGTTCTCATTGCCGTCGTGTCGTTGGATCTTAAAGTCCCTAATATAATGGTCAAAGCATTCTAGAAATACCTGTCTCACAAACCCTCGCGATATGTGTGCGCCACTCAAGTTTTGAAAGCCTTTCCGTGCGCAGTTGGAAACTGCTTGAGGGTCCTTGAAGCGTCACGATATGTACAGTCATTCATTCAATTAATCAATCAATCAATTAAATCGTTTATTCAGATCAAAAAGCACACCACAATCTTTCGACTGAATTACTTATTTATTTACAAATTAGGTCTGTCACTCAATATTGAGCACTTTTGACCGCATTAAAACACCATCAACAAAAACAAAAGGAAAACAAAAGTGACTGAAATAACCGCAAAGTAATAAAAGTGTTAATAAATGTTTGAAATTGCATTTTTAAAAGCAGCTAGTGAATTGGACAATGCCATATACCTTGGGAGTTTGTTCCTTTCTGTAATTGTCCTTGGGTAGAAAGAATACTCGTAGTAATCCCTAATGGCTGTTGGCTGTGTGTAAGAGTACAATACTCTATGGAGAGAGTTGAGTACGAATGGCCAGCGGATTGTAGTTTTGCATCTTCATGAGAGACTAGTCTGTATCGTATTTTATACAGCATGGTTTGGATTGGCGTTATATGATTCGCCTACTTTCTAGTGTCTTCCATTTCAGATTGAAAGCATTTTGGTTACACTATCTTTGCGGTCGAAGCGACAAAACAGTTCCTTAGTATTTACAAAACTACAGTTCGTATTTATCTATACCCAATGAAAGGTGGAAAAAACTATGACTATTATCATTAGATTTAATCTAAAAATTTCTTAGTTTTGTCTCCCTTTGTTCGGTCTTTTTTATAGACAGGAATACATGTATAAGAAACTCTCTTCGACTTCTAAGAGTGGACTTTGGCCAAATCGGCCGTCCCACACCGTTAAAAAGATCTAGATATAGCGAATCGGGCAGATAACGTCGGGATGCCAACCATTACCCTTTCTAATGTTTCACTATGGGTGCGTTGCTGATGATGATGATGATCCTGATCAGGATCACTCGGATCATGGTAGGTCAAGTGAACCGATGAATCCTTGTCCAGAGTGGATTCATCGGTTCATTTCATCTCAAAGGAACGAAGCCATTATATGTGCAATTAGAAGAACCAGGTCGCATAGAAGGCCACCAAGCATACGCGCTCTATTTGATCAGAGAAATAACTAGACAAACTGTGGTGGAAAATCCAATACTGCAACGATCTAATTAGTTGAATGACCTAGTTAGCCACTGGGAGTTTAAAACTATAAAAATCTGTGCAAATTTCAGGTCTTTCCAATCAGTTATTTAGAGAAAATTAGCCAAAAAAGCTGCAGAGGCAAGCGATTTTAACGATTGGTAAAAATTATCAGCGTTGTGAAACACACTGACCCTCATCTGTTTAGTGCCATCTGTGCTGTTGTTTAAGTGAGTTCTATTCCAGAATGTTGGCAGGAGGAAGATCACGTGACTGTCTTCCCTGCCCTGTTCCCTGCCTTCTGACTTCATTCACCACTGAACCAGACTCGTACTTAGTCGCTCTTTATTTTTGAGGGGGATGAGAGAAGATTGGTGTGAGGTTGAGGCACGCGGGAACTCACAGGAAGGAACGAAGGAAAAATAGCCTCGTTATTTTTTCTTCGTCCCTTCCCATGAGTCCCCGCGCGCCTCAACCCAACCCCAATCTTCTCTCATCCCAAAAACGGATAAATAGGGACTGGGTACCAATCTGCCACTGAACACCCACCTCCACACCCAGAAAACAGTGTAACTGAATGGTGCCAGCAGACGTCTCTTTCCTCTGGTACTGGTATTGGTATTCTCTTTTCCTCTCGCCCACCGAATGCAGGCGCTCATGCTTACAACAGGAACACGATGCCTCCAAGAACGAAACTGTCCATGTATCTAAAGCAGCAATTGTGTTTAATCCAACAGATGCCATTGCTCAGTCCTTACAGGCAACTTATCAGCGGCTATCAGAAATCCCTGACCCCAAGTTACCAGTAAAATATCCCCGTACACCAGGATATCGACCCGTTGGCGAGGATAACCCTTTGAACGCCTGGTAAGTTTATTACTGTCCTTTTTATGCCGTCGTAATAATTTAAGGTGGCTCCATAGGGTTTTTCAGGGACAATACCTCCCAAGTTTGAGCATAAGCCTGATAAGCTACGTCGCCATGAACAAAAATTTGGAAAAATTACCACCACAGCTGCATTGGATAAAGATGAAAATTTGATATGATCAGGGTTACGATGATATTGGAGTTGTCATAGCAATGAAATGGCGCCATTTCCAACTTTACTTGCCACTGGGAACTGATCTTTCAAAATCATTCACGGCAGCTTTATCTAGCTAGTATTGTTCATTGTAATAGTAACTAAATTTCCTCACGGAGCATAACGTGTCCGCGCGTTCCAGATCGAATTGGAATTTGGAAATGTTAATTTGTTTTTTATAAAGAGACGGGGAAACCGGAGTACCCGTAGAAAACCCTCTTGGAGCAAGGGAAAGAACCAACAACAAGCTCAATCCACATATGGCGTCGACGCCGGGATTTGAACCTGGTCAACATTGGTGGGAGGCGAGTGCTCTAACACCTTTGCTGCCGCTTTGTTTCAAACTTTAATCCTGACGCTAAGGAAAAATTTAATTTGACACATAAATTCAGCACTGAATCACTGGCCTTGTTTTTCTTTGCCAGCTATTACTGGCTACGATCGATAACCTTGGTATCGCTAGGTATTACTTGATGTTTTTTAATTAGGAAGTGTTATAATTTACAGTTTTAGCAACCTTTGACATTGATTAGTAATGTGTCCTGGACACCTTTCAGGAAACTCGTTCTTTAGTTAAACTATACTGACTTTGTCTGATCGTAGTCTCTTAATATTAAATTTCGCTCTATAGGTACTGGCGCTGCAACATTACAGGCGCACCAAACGGGAAACTCCTAGGCAAGACGATTGCCATCAAAGACAACATTTGTGTTGCTGGTGTTCCGATGATGTGTGGCTCCCGTATTCTGGAAGGTTACATCCCGGATGTTGATGCGATTGTGGTGTCCCGGATATTGGACGCTGGTGGTTGTATACTAGGAAAAGCTGTTTGTGAGAGTTTATGTAGCAGTGGAGGTAGCTTCACTTCTGCTACTGGTCCTGTTCTGCACCCTGGTGATCCGACGAGAATGACGGGAGGATCTTCATCGGGATGTGCAGCTTTGGTAAGAAGTTGTTTTGTAAAGTTCTGTCGGTACATATCATCCAGTAGCAGTGGCAGTAGTCATCCATCAGTTTTGGATGACTATGGATTTTCACTCTGGTCAAGGTGGTCTTGTGGTCTACAGCCTCGTCTGTAGTTGTACAGTCGAATGCGGGAGTGGCAGTTTCTTCCGCAGTGTGTGTAAAAGTAGTTGGTGGAATCTCTTTAGGGTTTAACATCTCAGCCATGCATCCTTGTTCTTATGAACGGTTTTAGGTGGCGGGAGGTCACGTGGACATGGCTCTTGGAACAGATCAAGGTGGGTCTATACGAAATCCATGCGGACGCTGTGGCATTGTGGGCTTAAAACCCACTTTTGGTCTCGTACCGTACACGGGAATCATTCCAATGGAGTTCAGTCTTGATCACGTGGGTCCCATGGCAAAGAACGTGCACGATCTATCCTTGTTATTAGAGGTTTGTCCCTTGACTTATTATAAGAAAAACCATCCTGTAATAGCTATTAGTTTATTTTGAGATTACTTTTTTGAAAAAAAAAAACGTCATTAGGGCCTTCCCCCAATTGATGCAGGTTACGTGATTTTGTGTTTAATTCACTTCTTACATGTTTCACTTGATCGTTTCTAGTAGGTAGGTAGTTGTGATTGAATTCAGATTTGGTAGCGAGTGTCGATGAATTTATTAGACTTGCATTACTTTCAAAACAAGGACAACTCCAGTTGCTTCATATGCCGGCAATCCTCACTTACAGACAAACGTTTTGCTCAGGACTGAAATGGTAAATGTTAGCTCAATTAGAACTTAACGATTCTATTTTAGGTTTGGGACAAAACTTTCAGATGCTTAGTTTTGATTTAGATCACTCCCATTATCTCAATGTTTCACCCTTGAACTTTTACCCTCAGTATTATGAAGATGTTCAGTTCTTTCTATCTTCGGTTTTTGGTGGCACCATTTGTATGTAGAGCCGTTTTTAATTTCAAGTAGGTGTCGTAAGTGCTTTCGTTTGAATTGCTGATCTTTTTCATTTTTCAATAATGATGCCTCTCGTTAGCTTTTTAACCAGCTGGAAACCAAAACCGATCGTGACTTGCTCTTTCTTGTTTTATCGCCCTTGGCGTTGTATCTATATTGTCTTAATACATACTTTTCTTCTTTACTTTTTAATTCCGTGCTTATTGTGATTTTCAAAGTATTTACTTTTGACTTTTACGAGAATTTATTGCAAGCGTTATATGGTTATGCACCTCATTTCCATATATAGAAAGAAATTCTGTTTTGCTCGTCTGTGTACATTATTTTAAAACCAGTTTAATTTTTTCCGAGTGTTTCACTTCCTTTTCTATTCTTTGAAAGGTGATTGCCGGTCCCGATGATGGTCTTGATTACCGCCAGCCACACAGTATGCAGTCTCCTGAATCTTACACCAGTAAGGTAATACAGAAAATCATTGTTTTGTTGGAAAACACATACGATTTTTTATGTAGGGGCGTGCCATGATGACGTCTCTCGATGGGAATCAGAAGACTTGGTCACTCCTGTTCGTCTTTAGTGTCTTTGTCCTTGCATCGAATACCCCAAGATGAATTCAACTCTCTAGTTTCTTGTTGTGACGATGGTGGACCGCCCAAATTTAAACCTATACGGTAGGGATGTGAAAACGTCAAAGTTGTACAGCTTGTAAAGCCTGCCAATACAGCCTTCAGTCTCTCCTGATTCCTCGCGAACAGGGATGCCTAGCAGGAAGTACCAGGAAAGACGGCTGTATTCGCAGGCTGCAGCTTGTAGGGCAAGAAAACGTTGTTGTGGTTGAGTATCCGTTGCGAATTCTTTCAAGTGTCTGGCATTATTGATATTCGCTGAGATCTCTTTAATTGTCAAGCTGGCCATCTTTTTAGATAATTCTTACTGCTGCTTGAAACTGTCAACACTTTTGAGCTTTGTTATTAAGCCTGGATCATTGGCCGAGATGTGCTGTTGGTTGTTACTCCCTGGGATAAGAACTAGTACAAGTCCGTACGAATATAATTGCATTGAATGAATTTGTTTCGCATGGCCTTCGTTTCATCAGATCTTTATTCCATCAAGGTGTTAAGATGATGAGCTAATTATCAGTTATAATATTAAAAGTGTGGCGTGGCGTTGCGGGTCATGATCAAAGGTAACATCAAGCGATGCGATTGCAGTCGTCCTTCTTAAAGTCTTTAGACTTCTTATAACCTGGGATGTAGTTACCTTGCCTTGGTTCGACTCTTGAAAGGTCGGATCAGTTGCCATCATATGATCGTTCGTGCAACAGCCTGATAATTCGGATGAATAATATGATATCACCTGTAGACATTACATGGCATCTTCTCCTACTCTTATGTGCACTGCAGAATGAGGCCCAAAACATGACTTCTCTGCTGGACACTATATTATTTTCAGGAGGTTCCTTCTGATCTCATCTGGTTTAATTCTGTCGTAGTTTGTGTGGTCTTCTCAAGCAATGCAGTATAAACAATATAAGGTTGATTCAACAGAGCTGAATTGTACTGGTCAAATTTCCTCAACACCTCCAGGTCTTGAAACTTCGTATGCATGTAAAGGTTATGGCCGGCCATTTCGTGTATGTCAATCTAACACTGAATGTGGTAAATTATTTGGTCATTCTTGTCGAACCAGTCAGAAAACGAATGTTTGAATTGCCAAAGAGTCGATCTACCTGAGCTGGTACAACCTCACAATACTGTTTCTCTGCTATGTCACTGCGTTCCGCCGCAGAGAAAACGTTTAAGTTCTAATCAGCAGAAAGGCAACAACACGTTGAAATAGGAAGGACACGATCAGTTGTGTTTATTGGGGACGAGAAAAAGCTAACGTACAAGAAATAAAGTAGTGGCGGAGAAAAACGAATTACATCACTGTAAACTACGAGACTAAACGTAAACAGCATACTAGAAAAATTAAGCTCGGCAAGGTGCGAGCGGTAAAACTGGCTGTGTCGAGTGACTAACGCGAGAGGCGACAAGGCTTAAATGCCGAGATGTGACGTAAAATCCCTAGAGGATCAAACTGCGGCCATAAATGCAAATTCCGAACATAAACACATTTATCAGTCGTCGGTAAACTTGTTTGCCCTTAAAGAATCTCGTCAAGTCTTTCCTGTAACGTCTTCTTAGAGTAGCCTTGACTCGCCTTTGCCGTTCTGAGGGCTTCTATAACATAACGGCCTCGGCGAGTGATATGCGGCTAGAAACTTTTCTCGGCCAGGTTGTCACTTTTCCGGTGAATCGTTTGCACTACGTGTGGACGTTTTTAATGTCTGTTATTTGTTTGTTGCTAAATCACTTTCTTTCCAGGCTAAACTGGCTCAAACATTGACAGATAAGGAAAGGATTATTCTCTCGAAGCCCTAAAGCATACATGCGCATCCCCACGCTGGTTGAATAACGGACTCACACACGTATTAAGAATCTTTTTCTTACAGTTAACAGGTGACATCTCCCATCTTCGCCTCGGTCTCCTTAAGGAAGGTTTCTCTCGTCCTCAGTCCGAGCCTGATGTTGACGAATTGGTTAAAAAAGGAGCTGAAGGGTTAGCTAAAAAGACGGGCGCTTCTTTACAAGACATCTCTGTACCAATGCATTTGGATGGTAAGTTTTGTTTCCCCTCTTTTTGAAAAACTAATACTGGCAGTAACTACGACTTTAGGGTTTTATCGTTCGTTACTGCGGAATAGCGTAAAGGATTCCATTAGGCATACCTCGTCCTTATCAAAGTTTTAAAATACGGTTTAGTTTTTGTGGTTAGGAGTTTTAATTGTTTATTAGGAATTTCTAGTTGTTTTGTTCACAATCCTCAAACATTTAATAGTTACATTCTTATTATCACGCAAGTTGTTGTAAATAGTGCTAGTTACTGTTTAAACATATGCTTGAAAGCGGCGTTCGAACACTCGTCTTGTATACTAATTGTTGTTTTGTAGTAGTAAACAAAATACAAGCGTGTTGTATCATGTTCTATTTGGTTTATTTTTTTCTAATCGTTTTTTGAACGGCGTGCCTGTAAGCTAGCTGTTAATCTAAGTGCATTTCAACTGTAAAGAAACCTTTCAACCTTTTAGATGATCCAAGGAATAAAAATTCAGCTGACGACAAAACGCTACGTAATGAAAAAGTGAGAGAATGGAGTAGGAGCTTTAGGTGAATCGGAAAGAAAATAATGCTGGGACTAAGCCAAATTTAACTTTACGGGTGGTCAAAACGCTTGCTTATCGAAAGTTAGGAGTCGAAAGCAGACGCAAAAATGATTTATAAAGGTTTAGTTGAGCTAAAACTAAGGTCCTTTAAACCTTACCTGCCTGAGGACTTAGATCTTTGTCGAGGTTTACTGATTTTGGTCGAAATAATGATTTCTTTTCGTTTTTTATCAAATCGGCTCATCTCTCTGCTTATACGTCACTGATGGTGTGATGAAATAAGCTCCACTTAAAGTCTGGTTACTGGCATGTTTTGGTCAGTCTAGAAAATGACGAGAAAACCACATGCAAAGCAGTATGGGGTGATGCCATTTGGACTCTGTTATGCGCCTGCGACCTTTGAGCAACTGATGAGCAGTACGGTCACCAGTTTACCATGCTGTACGCTCGGCGTCGAGGCCGAACATTTTTCAACAGGATACGTCAAATTGATATTTAATCCTCATTTTAATTCGAACGCCAAGTCAGTTTCAATTGCCAGGAAGAGCGTGAACCTGGCCGGCGTAAAGGTGTTAAAAGAAAGCCCATGTTGACGAAAAATCTTTCATGTAGGCTCGCAACAAAAATTTCGTCTGTAAGCGTTGACAACAAGTTGAGCCTGTAGCTATACATGCACAGTTGGCGCCTCTCCGATCGCTAAGACTAGATGTACTACAATGTATTATTTGTGCAATAGAGCTCATTCGAGCAGGAGGTTACACTTGTTGCTTAGTGTCTAAGTGCACAAAACACAGACGTTTTTGGACAAGCTCCTCCACCTACGAGTCTGTGGGGCTGTAATTTTCCGGGAAAAAACGGCATGTAGCACTATACTTATTAACGCCAGACAAACACACTATTGTGTTTGTTATTCGTTTGCACTGAAGGGTTGTGTTAGTGAACTGACATCAGCACCTTAGGAGGAAAGTATAAAGCATAAATGACGCTTATGCATCGATTTAGCCACTGTAATGCCCCACAACAGTGGTCAATGAATGATGGACGCTCACAAGTAAGAGGGAACAACTAACGATGTTTATGATAAAGGTGTTAGAATGGTTGACAATGATACAACAGATACTCGCCAGTAAGAGAGACATCGGAACTAATTGCCATTGAAGGCGATGAAAGATTCCATTAAATTCCTCTAGAATAATTTTTAAGGTTTTTTTTGAAAATCGCCTTCCTTCTTGTTTCTTTTTCTTAGCTGTTGTGATATATGACGCTATTTCAGATGGAGGAGTCTGGACTAACAGGTTTTTGGAAACAACTGGTGAGACGCAGATCACTTTAGTGAACGATTTTAGTTATGATAAGGCTTCATTGTTTGCCTTAACTATAGTTTCCTTTTGGCAATCGAGATCATCAAAAAGTAACTATGGTTGAATCAGGCCAGGATCTCTGAGATAAATCATGTTTGATATATGAAACCTTATAAGAATGAACGATTTCGCGAGCTTTTTTCTGTTTTCATGTGCATTTGTTTTGCTGAGGTATGCGCAAATATGCAATAAATTACCTTTTTTCTATAACAATGCGTCCACACTCCATGAAACAGCTGTGTATGGTGACTGAATTAAAGAGAGATGATAATTGATTGATAAATAAAAAGAAAGAGCGTGGGCGAAAACTAAAAAAAACGCCTTGGCTCTCACAGGATTAATCATGGCATCCTTAGCACCAGATGGGCGCTCTATCCAATGGCATGGATCGAGCTAAGGAGAGACCCTTGTATACCATGGCCATTGTGTCAGTGTGTATATAGTATCTGTAGTATCCTAGGAATGGGTTGCACACAACATCGTCAGGCACTGTGCGGTTACGATTTCCTCGATCGCAAACTAACACATATCAACTATAATCGAGCGATGTTGGTTTTTTCTTTTCAAGGCTATCAAGTGACTAGTGCACAACAAATGCTTGCTCAAGGATTAAAGAACCGCGCAAAAGACCTCAGTGTTGATTTGAAAGTTGCAGCTGTCAAAGGAAAATATTTGCAAGATAACTATCAAGATTTGTTTTATACCAAGGCACGTAATTTGGTGTGGAAATTGCGACGAGCATTCGACGAAGCGTTGACTAAAGTTGACGTGTTGATAATGCCTACAACTCCAATGAAAGCTAGGCGCATACCACATATCAATGTAACATTAAAAGGTAACTTGAAGCAAACAGTCTAAGGGTGCATACGTTCGTTTGACCATATCCCGCAATAAGAATAAATGGAATAAACTCTAGATCACTAGTCCTGTCCAGGTATTAATCAAAGCCTCTGCAAATGTGGTTGAAATACAATATTGAGATATAAGTGAAGAATGATCATCGCAGTAAATTTTCCAATTTAAGCAATTGGAAAGAAGAAGCCTGAAAAAATCAGGCCTTCAACGGGATTCGAAGCCGTGACTTCCGCGTTACCGGTGCGTTGCTCTACCAACTGAGCTATGAAGCCACACATTGGGAGCGAGGTCAATTTATTGAGTTCCTATCTCCCGTGAGGAGTGAAATGATGTTAAATATATATGAAATAATTCATTTTGGAAATGCGGTTGTAGATGAAAGTGAAGAATGATCATCGCAGTAAATTTTCCACTTTAAGCAACCGCAGTTCAAAAATGAATTATTTCATATATACTTCACAATATTGAGATAGCTGCTGCATTCCAGTGGTCCAAAAATTCTGGTAAAGCGATTTATTTTTCTTCTGCAAAACAGTGAATCGAATGCACCCTGCTGCTATATCTCCCTTCGTGTATTTCACATCCCATTCCCTTTTTCTCTTTAAGACAGCTGCCGCGCAGGTTATCTTTGGGCCTGTTTACATGGAGTGAGTTAACATGCGGCGGGTCACCCCACGTATCATGTAAACGTGATCAAAATAAAATGAGAGATTATACGGACACGCACGTTACCCCAACTAAGCGGCTTATTTCACCTAACTGGGGTCCCCCAGCTCTATGTAAACAGACCTTGAGAGAGGAACCATTGGATTTCTGAAGCCACTGGGATAAGATCACTATTCGATTTTGTCTGATAAGCAGAGTTCCATGTTCCTTCTTCATGGCTGGTAATAATGACGTACGAGATTCTCACCCCTCCTCCCCACCCTTCTTACCACTATCTACCCCTTATTTAAATCCCACACAAACTCTGTAGTTTTTGCCTCCGCAAGCGGACAATTCCCGTATAGGCAGCCACGGACACTTTCAGTGTTTGCGAGTTAGATTTTAGCTTTGTTTTCAGATTCTTGTATCTTAATAAATCAATCTTATATCGTCAGAACAGTGCTACTAAACACTTTCAAACATTTTTTCCTATTTTCCTATGTTGTTTTTGTGGTTGGACGTGCTCCCGAAGCGGTCATTTAACCCTTACATCTGTAGTGGTCACTTGCGAGAACCATTCTCGTAGGCGGGCATACATCATGCGCACTTCAGTAGCAAACCTTTTTCGCGTCCCTAGGGTGTCCGCTACTCTGCGTCCAAGAGCTTGCACTGTGCTATAATAAGTGCTGTGGAACAAGTGAATTAGAACGCCATAAAGCTAAAATGAGTAAGAACATAAATAAATAAAATCATGTTAAGGTATAAACTCATTGGTTTTATTTATTTATTTATTTATTTATTTATTCAGAGTCATCGGACATGCACCTTTAGTGCACGTTAACAGAGACAATTCCCGAAGACAGTGATCTAGAGTTCTTCTGGATGACTTTAATTCGCCTTTCTCAGATTCCTGGTTTACCGACCACTTCTAACTAAAAACAGTCTCTTGACTACGTGTACTATCTCAGTTGTTCAGTGAAATGAATATTTCTGTGACACTTTTAATCACCAGCAAAGAGATTAATTATGGTGCACGTTCTTTTTAATTCCTTTACAGAATACCTTACATCGTGCGGTGAAAACATAATGAACAACTGTGCATTTAACATGACTGGTCATCCAGCCTTGTCCATCAATGCAGGCTTTAGTCAAGGATTACCAGTTGGAATGCTGATGGTTGGGAGGAAGTTTGAAGAAGCGACTCTTCTTAATGTCGCTTACGCATTTGAAAAGATCCGAGATTCTATGTAGCAGTATAGTAATGTATTGTGAAACTGTTTTTTCAGACACCAAGAGCTGTCTAGTTCTTCAGTTTCCCTCTCATATCGTTTTATACATGGAAAGTCTCAGCGTTTCTAAAAGAAACGTTCAAAAACCTTTCTTATTCATAGATATAATTTTTTATTTTGTTATGCAAATGTAAATAGTTTCATTTTTTGATTCATTATTCCATCATCAAAATGTCATAGTGTCCGTAATTATTATTTTCATTTTTATGTATGGTGAAAGAGCCTTCAAGGGGAACGTATACCTGACAATAAAGTATGCATGCATGTATATAGCCGGTATGCATGTACGTATGTTAAGTATAGCCTTCGTGACAGGTACGAGTACGTACGAGCCCTGTCTGTCCTTGGCCAGTTTTTCGTCCATAAGATCACAAACAGTCGCACTGAGTTAGATGCAAGTGAGGTAGCCGCTAATTCCTACACTGACTCAACCAGCCAGATCTACCACATTTGCAGGAACGCCCTTATCCAAATTTGAGACTCTCTCATTGGAGTCAGTGAAGACCCTTATCGCAAGTGCACCATCAAAGTTATGTGAAATTGATCCCATCCCTACCACTATTGTTAAAGAGTGTCTGAATGAACTCTCGTGCTGCATCATCCATGATAAATTTCTCCCTCGAACAGGGTCACTTCCCTGATGTGTTGAAAGGGGCGCTTGTTAAACCGAAACGAAAGAAATCTAGTCTGGAACTTGAAAAGTATAACTATCGGCCCGTAAACAATCTTCAGTTCTTGCCTAAGCTCACGTAAAAGGCAGTTGCATGCTCAACAAACAACGTCTCAGATGATGGCATATGGGCTTTTCCCTGAGCTGCAATCAGCCTATCGGCAATTCCACAGTACCGGGGCAGCCTTACTACGTGTTTTTAACGACATCCTACTTAACATGAATAAACAACAAGTAACGTTACTGGTCTTCCTAGATTTAAGCGCTACATTTGACACCATTGATTATTCAATACTGCTTCGGCGTCTTGAGAATAACCTCGGAATTAGTGGATCAGCATTAGAGTGGTTCCGCTCCTACTTATCCTGTCGATTCCAACAGACCTGCAAGTTTGACATGCATTTTGGTCTACCACAGGGCTCTTGTCTTGGTCCCTTGTTGTTTTGAATACACAAGCTCTCTGTTTGAAATCGTAAGTTCCTACCTTCCACACACACAGCTTTACCTTGCTTTTAGACCAGACGATCGTCTGCTACTCAAGATTCGGCTGTTGCTACGATAGAAGCCTATATTTCCGACGTATGGAAGTGGATGATTACTGACAAGCTGAAGATCAATGATGATGAGAAGACTGAGTTTATCCTCATTGGCACTAGAGCGCAGTTAAAGAAGATGAATATTGGCAAAATAACCGTCGGAGACTCTCTCATATCTACCAGCAAGGATGAAATAAAAAATCTAGGCACTTGGTTTGACTGCAACCTTATGACTGAACACACGTTTCAAAAACTTGTAAAGCAGGCTTCTTTTATCTCCATAATATAAGCAGGATAAGGAAGTTCTTACTGAACTCAGGAGATAACGGATCGGAGAAGTTGATACATGCGTTCATTACGAGCCGCCTCGATTATTGCAGTTCACCTCTTTACGGGTTCCCCTCCTGTCTCCTCTCTAAATTACAACGCGTGCAAAACTCTGCCGCTAGACTTGTATAGAGCTCCCAGATTCTGTCATATTACTCCTTTGTTAACTGAACTTCACTGGCTAAACATTAAACACAGGATTGACTTCAAAATTATTCTGACGTACAAGGCCATTCATGGTGCAGCTCCTCCACATATCAATGATCTTATTTCACTCAAACCGAATTCTAAATATGGACAGAGATCCAATGACACTCTATTGCTGAAGCCACCACCCTACTCTTGGGGACAGGCCTTTTGGGCTGCCGCTCCAAAACTGTGGAAATCACTCCCTCAAGAGCTCCGGGAGGAACATAGAATCGGCACTTTTAAGAGAAAGCTTAAAACATATCTTTTCAAGAAAGCTTATATTTTAACTAACCTATTTATTAGATAGTGATAGATAGATAGTAATTTCGATTACCTTATCACTATTTTTGCTGTTTGGAACTTACTACGTATTTTAATTCATGTAGTCCTTTATGCATATGTTTGTTTTTAAATGATGTTTAAAAACATCATTGACTGTAATTTAATTTATTTATTTTATATATATATATATATTTTTTACTAATTTTATACTTTTATACAGTTTTCTTTTTAGAAATTGAATGTAAGGCGCATTTGAAAACTTTGAGATGAATTTGCGCTATAGAAGAGAATAAATTATTAAATTATTATTATTACTTGTGGAAATTTTTTGTTTTGAACTTGAAAACAAGAAAAAAATTCCAGCGGGCAAATCTGACGTCTATACGCTACGCTGCAAACGAATCTACCCTTTGTTTTCGACTACACTATCTATGTCAAAAAAAATGCGGATTTTTTGTTGTTTTTTCTTTTCTACACAATGTTGCATTAGAATCATGTGCCGATCCATTATTTCACTGCAATTATTGAGTGAGGCTGAGTATGACTTGAATTATGCATATCGAGGACTGGAGGGTGTTCGGTCTCGTCGGCGGATATTTGCATAATTCTTCATAACACAAAAGCCGAATCCAATAAATGTTTTGTTATTCTTTCATTCAGAAATATCGAAAGTATCTCCAACTTAAGAACATGCTTATCTCGACTCTATGTCACACCATTCAGCTGTTCATCGGCAGTTGAACATCGACGATTTGCTCCTAAAATACCTTGAAAACACTTTTTAGGTTATCCAGAGTACTTTTAGATCTCTAGAAATGCATTCTAAGTGACGCTATAAAATTTGTATCAGTTCGGTCATTCAAGGGGAACTTTAATCTTTTCGTAAGTACAAGGACTTCAATATTATTTTCTCGAAAATTTCAGATGCATTTTCACGTATTACGAAAGTGAGAATTTAACTGATTCCTCTCTCTCGATCTCTCCATCACATTTTTGAATCCCAAAATTTTAGGTTTCCATTTTTCTTCGGAAAAATGCCTAAATTGAGGAGTGAGATGTGAGAAATCGGTAAACTTATGACAATGTTAGGGAATTTATTAGACAAACTTAGAGTGATTGCACGTGAATGGAAGCGTTCATCTAGAAATTCTTAGTTGTGCTCAAGCTATATAAAATGTCAGGCAACATCTGCTTCTCCGAACAGATATTCAGGGGGACCCAATGGATGTGTTCCTCAAAATATCTGTTTTTCATGATCAGGCAAATTTTTGCTGGCTGGGAGGTTTGGAAAAAATATATCCTTTCAAGGAGAGTGTTGCTGGTAAATAGACAATTCAGAGGGTGTACGAGTGGAGTTGGTGTCTAGAGTCTAGAATAGCTGTGATGTTGAATTTCTCATAAACCTCTCTGTCCACCTACCCCCCACTGAAGGGGTGAATTTCGCCATTAGGCCACACCCAATTCCCCCCAGTGAAGGGCTGAATTTTGCCCTATAACCACACCCATCGCCCATCGGTCTTGCTGTGAGTGAGGAACAGATAGATTTTTTCCCAGCAATCTCCCAAAATGCTTAAAATGGCTTCAGAAAGCTTTTTCCATGCTTTGTGTTGTTTTTAGGTCTTTTTCTCAAAATTTCTCTTTGGGTGCCCCTGGATATTTCACAGAAAACAGTCGTTGGGTGCCTCTGCCAATTCTCCAGCGCTTCTCAGTAGTCACCGCGCCTTCGATCTGCTGTTCCTTTTTCTGCCGACTATCAGTACAGTTGCGGTCAACTGTACTAATATCATCGACAAGCATCTTCCAAATTCAGTCAACAACACTAGCTGGTCATGACGAATTACCAGGGAAACCCAGGGGGAACAAAGTCAATCGGAATCAGGATAAAGATTTTGAATGAACAATAAGTTTTATTGAATGTAACATTTGTAACTATCAGGCTAGGAAGTTGAAGTTCAGCATGCAGCACCTTCCCTTTGGTACTCGATAGTCTCGTGTAAGATCCTGTGGCAAAAGATCCAGCCACATACCTCGCTTTCCCAACACGAAGCATTGAATAGGCAGAATACCACCTTGAGTGGCAGGCCTGCGTGTTAGTCGTAGCACCGTATGTCTCCCCTCTGCCTACAGGACAGTTATTACTATATCAGATTTGGTTATGAGTACGAGATCGAGTGTGAGTTTTAAGTTATTTGTGATTCAAAGCTTATCACTTTTTCCTTGCTGTTGACCAGTTTTTGGGAGCAATAATGGGTAAGATGGATATCAGCTTATATCAAAACAACATGAGTCTAAGATCTGAGTCTTCAGCAGTACTCAATCTCGCAGTCATAGCCAATTATTATGATCAAGAAAGCAAAGAAACAGTGGACACGCCTTCTCCTCTTAGAAATCTATATTTATTTATCAATACAAGACTTGAAACTTGACTGCGATCTATACATTTTGTCATTGTGACTTGAGATATTTTAAACCATTTAACCTTGTACTATTTAAGACCTACACTTTAATGAGTCTCAAGTTATACGAAGAACTACTGTATTGCTTTCCACTGACTGCCAGCCCATTAAGAGTTCCATTATAATTACAAACATGAATTTAATTTTGAGTCGTTAAACGTTCCCTTTTAAAATACCCGATAATTAGCTTCTATTTAGATCACTTAGGTTCTCAGATGTGTCCATACTGAAACGAGTATACTAAACAATGACTACTTGAAAATGAACTACAGAATATAACAACAATCTCATTGAAACAGCTTTTTTCAGTTACTCAAAAACTTGCAAGCGGTTGTTGTCAAGCTCGCAAACAACTATGTGGCCACTTCTCAGTACACAAAGGTTAGTAGGTCTTCCTAATTGGCCCATTTTATTTCCATGACTACCAAACTTTGAAACGAATTTGCCATCCAAAGTAAGGACCTGCACCCTATGATTTCCTGTGGAACAAACCAGAAGATGACCCGTTTTGTCCACTGCAAGCCCAGCTGGGCGAATGAACTTTCCATCTCCAGTTCCATACCCACCAAATTCATATAAAAATGTCCCGGTACTATCGAAAACTTTAATAACATGGGCATCAAGATCAGACACAAATATTTTATCTTCATAAAATACACAATCAAATGGCATGTGTAATCCACCTTCCCTCACCGTCTTCAGAATGTTTCCCTCTGGAGAAATAAACCTAATACATTTATTTTCAGCGTCACAAACAATAAGATTTCCTTGAGCATTTAACGATATTCCGCGTGGCTGTTTAAGTAATTCACCACCGTGAACAGATTGTATGTATTCTCCGTTGGATCCAAAAAGTGATATCTTGTTACTTAGTCTACTGCAGACAAAAATTTGACCTTCTTTATCAGCAAATAGTCCATTTGGACATTTAAAATGGAAGTGTTGGAATGCCTTACTAAAAACGCCATTTTCATTAAAAACTACAATCCGATCATTACTCATATCACTAACAATGATGTCGTGATTCGACTTATTCACCGTCACTCCCCAGGGTTTGTTCAACATTTTACCCTCAAAAGCTCCTTCGCCGATGAACCTAAGGGGTAAAAAGGAGCGTTTTCGTATTTCAATGGACGGCAATTCCCTGATTTTTTCACCATTCATTTTAATGGTCAATAAATATTGTCCAGTCTTACTCGGAATGAAGGAAAATGTGTAGCTACCGTTTTTCCTGTCACTGATTTTTACTTCATCAGTGATGCAGTTTATGTTTGGATCTTGTGCTGAAGTCAACTGCAGAGTAAAATAATCCCCAGGGCAATAGCACTGTTCTCCTTTGAAATTCCTGGTGATAACTTCAATTTCTGTCTCCAACCCGACTGAAGCGGTCCTGACGCCATTAACTAAACACTGGTTTGCTTCCGTAGCAGATCGGTCAAGGTGTCCAATACTTAACTCTTGGATGGTTTTGGCGACTTCTTCGTTCTGGAAGAAAACGGTGGAATAAACGTCTATTTCAGTCGTCGATGGTATATCTGGTGGTTCTAGAAGTCCTTGCTGCAGCTCATCTACGATTGCCCTGGTCCTTATAAGTTCCACTCCTGTGCTTTGCTGGACAAGATTCTCAATCTGCGAGATAGACTGCTCCCTCTTTTCAAGCATATCCTGAAGTTCACTTTTGCTTTTCGCAAGTTGTTCTTGAACTACTTTTGTCTGATTTTCCACTTCGGCTGTTAATATTTTTTCTTTTTTTTGAATCATCAAGATCAGGAATCTAACCATTTGTTGTATCTGCTCCTTATTAGTTTTTGAACGGTATTCAATTAGACGCATCCTTTCGTCTACGTCTCGAATGTGTCTCGATATTGTGTTCGTTAATTCCTTTGCAGCATCCAGTTTAGAAGCGGCGTTTGTCCTAATCGCTCTTGCAATTACCTCTACATGCTCTACATCGTGTTTATTATGCTCAATAATAACGCAAGTTTGGCACACGGGAATATCACATTCTTTACAGTAAAACTTCAAAATTTCTTTATCATGAAGCTCTTTTTGGCAAAATACTGGCGTCTTGAGAACATCCTCAAAATCCTTGTCTTCAAAGTCTTTGAGAGCAAGGACACGGTGATCTCTGTTTTCTCGCAAGATGTTGTGTGCATTCACACAATCATTACACCAGAACTTGCCGCAATGAAAACAAAAGGATGCTTCTTCGCTTTTCTTTTCACAGTTTCCACAAGTAACCTTTGCAGTGTTGCATTCTTTGATGGTTAGAATGTCAAGGAGATTTTTCATATGAAAACAATCAGGTAGCGTTTCCAAAGTGCCACTCTCGGGAACGGCGACTTCTCTCTGGCAAAGCGGACATTTGATCATACTGTTAAGTGCGTTGGCTCGAGCCAAGTTGTTAAGACATTGAAGACAAAAAATATGTAAGCAAGGAAGTTGTTTTGGTCTTGTGTACAGTTGCATACACACCGAGCAAGTTACTTCCTCCTTTAGATTGTACATCAGTGTTGGGACATCCATCTTGGTATATTTTAAAACGTTTGAGGGAAAAGGATCGAAACTGCTACAAACTCGATCTGTATTCAACAGCTGAATCAGTGATGCGTAGCGTCTCGTGATCATGGCGATAGCCAATGAGCCTCTGGTTGGCACATAAATATCAAGAGGCGACCTATAAGGCGAATAAATTGGCGAGTACTGTTGTTCCGGGTCTGCAGGTCACAGTTGTTTGTAACTTTTCTCATTTTTGTCACGAAACGGATAAACAGTCACAATAGCTATATTAAAATAAAACAAGTCAGGCTTCACAAATACTTTTCTGACTATCTTACGTTTTATTAAGTTTCACATACGGGAAATAACTTTGATATTGGACACGCAAACATACGCATGTGTTACAGTTGTCATTAAAGAGTATCCATGAACCAAATCACAAAAAGGACGCAGAATCACGTGATTTCCGAGAAGTAACCTGTTGATACGTGCACACTTCTATCCAGCTGAAGAATAACCCGGGGGGGGGGGGGAACTCCGCATATGAAAGGGGTGGGGATGCTGGTCGCAAATTTTGGATTTAACCCATAAATGGGACCACCCCTAAAAGAGACCATGTTAAATAAAACACAGACAAATGAGAAAACTTGGATTATATGAATGAATTGCTGTTATATTGTATTGTTAGTTAATCACTAGTCTTATTTTTTATAAATTGTAATTATTAAACGCCATGTCTGAAAACCAGCTTTCTGAGCCATTTACCTTGTTTAAATAAAGTTGAGTGATTGATTGATTGGAGTGAATATATATTTTTATATTTTTTCGCGTGCAACCCCAAACGAGACCTTCATGGCTAAATATGATGCCGTTCTGCCCAGAACACCCTAACTGAGACCAAAATCGGAAATTTACACCCCTAAGCAGACGACGAGCATCCCCACCCCCTTCATATGCGGAAGCCCCCGGGAGAATAGCGACGTTAGTTTTCAATGACTTGTCGTGTTGAAGCACAGTAGCCTAAAGAACAAACATCTAATTTCCGTGCAATCTAGAAAGTCGTCAAGCTAGGTCGTAAACTTCCGCTTATAAGCCCCTTTGCTTCCCCCAAGTTATAGGCCCCTCTTCCCGTAAACAAAACGAAACATCCAGTTATAACTTATAAGGCCTCCTCTAGCCTGGGGAGGTACTGCCTTATATAAGCTATATAGGTATGTGCCGCTCCATCGGGTAGGGTTTTTGTGACGTTTCGGTCTGAAAACGGGTATACTCTTTGCCCAATTTGGCCTGGAACCGGGTATGGTTTTCGAGGGAACTACGGAGTGTATGAACGTATCAGTATCGTTTCAATTCCAAATAAGTAAGAAAGAAAGAGAAATATATATGCGAATTCGGAAGGGATTTGAATAATTTTTTTTCTTTGCGCTCTAATCAAAATAATGATAACATAGATTCTGCATAAAGGCCAGGTCTGTCAGGGGTCCGAAAACGGGTATGGATTTTAGAGGTCTAGTCTGAAAACGGGTGTGAAAAATTACATTTTTTGGTCTGAAATCAGGTCGGGATTTGAAGAACCGGGCGGCACACCCCCACCAAGAATTTCCAGGAGTAACCCCCGCCCCCGGCCCCTCTAGCTACCATTGAAATGAATTCGACTTTTTACGAGATTTGAAACTTAAAAAAGCGACCAAATTCAAAAAGTATTTTGATCAGCACGGCTATGCAGCTTGTTTTGAAAAACATTTTTTACTCCGGTTATAAGCCCTCCTGGATATAAGCCCCTCATTCCCGTTTATAAGCCCTCCTAAAACCCCTTACAAAGTTGTATAAGCCAAGGGATCATAATCAGAAGTTTCCGGGTATTCTTGGGTTGACTGATCTAACATGTCTTTCCATGCGGCATATTTAATTAGTGTTTTTGTCCTTTTACGTCAGCCCTTATAGCAAGAACTGAACTTGACGAGGAGAGACACCTGGGTGGGGAGTAATCACAGAAAGAACGCTTGAGAACGGCTTGATTTTTTTTTTGAGATATTGAGTAATTTTCCTTTCTCTTAGTATGAACGTGGAATTGGATAAATCCCATTTTCTAAACTTTAATACAAAGAAAATAATAATAATAAAACAATGCAAGCCTAAAAGAACAGTCGTGAGTCTCAAGTCTCTGAAAGAAACATTTCTTTGAAAAAAGTCAATTTTGGACCCAACTGAATTCGCTGAAGTTCTTCTTCTTTTAAAAAGCTTTTAAAGAGGATAGAAGAAAGGTGGGACAGACTTCTCTTTGACTGTCTGTGTTAAGTATATGTCTGTGATCATGGCAATCTAGTTCAGGTTTACACTAAGAGTCTTGTGCACCTTACACAGATGCAGCAAAGGGAGATTTCTCTACGAGTGGAAATGTGAATCAAGTAGAGTTAAAAGAACCACTTGGATTGGTAGTGCTTTGGCTAGGTAATCTTTTTTTCTCAGAAAAATGTTAAAATAACTTTAAGCTATTTGTGTACAGATTAAAAGGACGTTTTCTCACAGAAATTAGAAGATCGATTGAGGGAGAAATGGGTCAATTTGGAAAGCCTGCCAACGTTATTGTTTTAGCAAAGGTTTTGTTGTTTGGGAATTTGAAAACTTCAGTATACAGGTGTTAGCTGAATAATTTTTAGGACAAATTATAGCTAGTCCTCTCTTGGCTGACGTGATGCAATTAAAGTAGTTAAGTGACAAAAGCCAATACCGACATAACAGCTTGACCTCTATTCTTTGTCACTGGAAAAAATAACAGATTCCCATTTTTGGATATTTTGGGATATTTAAAGAATACCCACAAAAATCCCAAATTTGGAAGAGTGAGACAAGTCCCAACCAGGAAACTTGGTTGGGAATTCCCTGGTTCGGACTTGTCTCACTTTGCCAAATTTTGGATTTTTATGGGTATTTTGTAAATACCCTAAAATATCCAAAAATGGGAATCCGCTTTTTTTCCTGTGTGTAAGGTTATCGCTGGCTCGGACGATAGTCTCGATTACCGTCAGCCAATGGTACAAGATGCAGTTGGCTTCATGACAGGTGTTCGTGGGCTGGGGGCAGGTGTGAATCTAGGGGGAGGGTGCAGGGAGTGCAAACCCCCCCCTTAAAATGACCTGCAGTTTTTTAATACAACTGGTATTCTGCAAAATATAAAGACATGTATTCTCAGCAGTTCACATTATGTTATTCCCAAGTCAAACGCCTTCTTCTTATTATTCACTTTTTAAAGTTTTTTTATGTCACCAGTTAGTTACGCTATTCCTTAGTGGTGCACCCCCTCCTAAGAAAAATCCTGGATCCTCCCCCTGGGGTTAATGTAGCGTTATGTAGTAAAAGTGCGGAACGACCAGATAGAGGTACAGTGCTCCGATGTTCGTTGGACAAGGAAAGGGACTGCGTAACATAAACATGCTCCATGTGAGTGAAGTATTGTTACAGCCTGTTGATTCATTTTCTCTTAGGCAGCTGTTCTTTGTCGTCATACAATGCTCCTCTCCACATCATGTGACATTATAGAGAACAGCTGTGTAGGAGACAAGCCATTTCATTTAATTAGAAAAGAGTCCTCTCTTCTTCCTTTCTTATCTGATATGGGGGACTTAATAGATTATTATATAAAGTGTGGAATGATGATTTAACTGTGCGGTTGTCATTTTCAGAGTCCAAGTGATGATTGATGGTATTTAACTCAAATGACCTGATACAACTCACTTTGACTCTGAAGATGACAACCGCACAGGTTGTCGAAATGTCAGTCACTGTCAAAAACAACAGTCCTATTTAGGACTACGTTCACTTGGATGATCATACTCAACCTACTTATGAAATGACTCCTGGGTTCAAACCAGAGGGGGAAGAGACGAGGCCCGGGACCAAGAGACAATGTTTTCACAACTTGCAAAGCGGTCACCCTGCTTGGTGGTCAGTGGATATTATTGCAGTATTTTTCCCACAGTAAATAATTTAATAAAAGCGAGAAGCAAACCAGTAGAGGAGATGATTACAAAATTGAAAAAATAATATCATGCATCTTTGTTTTTCTTGCATATCCTATTTATCTTTTGGTACTGAAATTGTGGGGGAAACTAAACTGCAACCGTGTTAGATCTTAACCAACAACAACGTGCTCGATCCATTTATAGCTTACATCGTTTTTGCCTGGTGAGAACATCAAACCTTTCACAATACCAGCCAGTATTTTAGAAAATAGAATTTGGAATTTTGTTGAATACAGTCAACTCTCTCTTAACAGACGCCTCTGTAAGATGGATGCCTTGGTAAAACAGACACCTAGATTTGGTCCCTGCCTTACTTTACTCCCTTTAACTCTCTATAAGACAAGATCACCTTAGACAAATGCATAGTGCCATTCCCACAGATAGATCGATAAATAGATAGAGCTGTTTGTAACTGCATTAACATACCTAAATGGCCTTCCTTGACTGCTGGAGTTGCACAGTATGCAAAATATATCATCTTTTTATTTAATTGACTTGTTCATTTGTTATCTTTTATTGGACATAATGAGAGACACAACAATCATTAAAATCTGCTCTGGATCTCTGAATATGTTGTACTTTTTTGATTTTTTTTTAACTGAACAGTTTATTGATGAACATTCCTTGGCTTTACCCTGCTATAAACTATTTTCACTAATTACACCTGAAAAGAGTAAGCTTTTAAAACATCATTAGCCATTCCCACACAAGTGGAGTAATCACAAATTACTTTTTCAAATCCAGTTCCTGCTCTTTGAAGGGAACCCCCAAGCAAGGTGTACTTAGAGTCTAGAGTTCTTGAGCTTCCTGTTCCATGAGAAGATGCTTTCTTAGACCAGCAGTAAGTTCTGATAGAGTAGTCTCGTGAGCAAGACATAACGCGATAAGCATCCACATACAGGCCTGTGATTGGTCCATTGTGGTCTCTGTGTGTTTGCGACTCTTTCAGCAAATTCAAATCCCAGAGACGAATTGTGCTGTCATGACTGGAAGATACTAAAGTTGACCCTAACATGCAGATACACGATATGTCATCACGGTGTCCGTGAAAACAGTGAATCTGTTGTCCACTGTCACCATTCCACAGAATGATGTCACCATTGTTGTAGCCTGCTGCGAGATGGTTCCCCTTGGTTGGCGCCCAGCTTAAGCATGAAACTGTAGCATCTGAAGGATGCTGTAATGTATGTATCTCAGGTCTTTTCCAACACTCTGGGGCTAGATATCTGATATCAAAAATCTCAATGGTACTTTCAAATTTCGATGCTGTGGCCAAGAGATGGTCCCCTTGCAGTGTCATGTTATCCAAACCCAATGGGCAAGTCAGCTCATACTGAGGGCTTAATGTCACTCGCATGTCCCATATCTTGACATACCCATCTCTGTAGCCAACAATAAGGAGGTTGCTTCCTGTGTCACCTTTTCCTTTCGCTATGACATCTTTACCAGACACCATGACAGTAACAACTGCAGAATGACTGCCTTGCAAGGCTGTGTCCTGCTCTGTTTTAACATCCCATAATTTAATGCCTCCTTCCACATCACCACTTGCTATGACTGAATTATGGGATACCACAGCTAGACAAGCCACTGGTGATTCATGAGACTGCTTCTTCCACAAACTCTTTCCCTCTCGCACATTCCATAGGCAAACAGACTTGTCTTGACTACAGCTTGCGACAGTGGGATATGCATTCTTTTCTATTATTTCCTCATCATAGATATTGTTAGTTGTTAGGAATACCATGTCTGTGACTTGACCTTTGTGTCCACGCAAGGTTTTACAAACATAATCCAGACCTGGTCTACCTGTGGCTACCCCAGTTTCTATCTTATTCCGAGCAATGAAGTACTTTTGCCATGTTCTCTCCCCTAAAAAGTAATTAACACATGGAATAACTTTTTATGGCCATTTAAGTTGGAAACATTGCAATTTAAGCAGCAGCAACTCACTGGGTCTAACCAAATCATCTCCTGCCGACATTTTCACCATTTATGGTGTTTACAGGTAAAAGCAAACAAAATTTTCATGTTTAAATGTACATTTTTGTCCAAAAACCTGACAGAATGGTGAAAAAAAATTGACAAAATTTTCTCAGGATATTTGATAAAAATGCATTTCCAGTGATTTTAGAGGCTCCATTTTTTTTCCAAATTTTCAGGAAGAGCATACCTCTAAACCCCACTAGATAAGCAGTCACTGAGCTCATGCTACATGCCAGCTAGCCCCACCAATCCAAAATATACTTTGCAACCCATCATAATTGTTTTGTTATGATAGGGTCTGTGGGGATGATCTATATGTAAAGCCTTGTGCCATAAAAACCCACAGTGGGATTGTGTGACAGGTTTATGACAAAAAGTAACTGGTTGTTGGCTCTGGTACACCCCATTCCACCATCCCCAGGACACTGCAGGTGAACCAGTAACGGGGCTTGAGCATTGGGGGAAAGGCCGATTTCCCCTTCTTCCCTAGCCTGCTAGCAAGCTCTCCAGGGCTCTCGGCAGTGGGGCGGGAAAAGGAAGGAGAGCTTGCAATGAAGTCTCTGGAATTTTTTAATGTCTGCATCAAAAAAGTTGATGCAGTATGCTGATTGGTGGGGATGGCAGTAGTAATGATCTCATTACCTTTGGCATGTGTTTTCCAATGTTTGTTTACATTTGTGAGCTTGTTTCCGCATCGTTCTGATTGGCGGAAATCTGACAGCTCAGTTGACGGAAAGGCGGCGAATTGGAGGAGGAATTCAAATTCCAGAGACGTAGTTGCAAGCTTTCCTTCCTTTTCCCGCTCCGCCGCCAGAGCGCCCCGAAGAGCTTGCTTGCAGGCTACCTCTTCCCTTTCCCCGCCCCATACCAATCTGCCCTTGCCAAAAGCTTGGAGAGACTGATAAGCGTAATACATGTGGGCCTTTTGTAAAAGAGAAACTAAAAGTTTTAAGCACCTTTCCTTAACTATTATATGATGGATTGTAGGGATGTTGATTGCCATTCATACATCACCGTACCGGGTTTCAGTTTTGCCAAGTGGCAAAAATTCCATCGCTGTAAACAATGTCTCTTCCATAACGTGCCGACTTGGGACGCTTCATGCCAATTCCTACAAACCTGGGAACATTTAGATAGGCTTTCGGGAGGAAGATAGCTAAAAATGTTCACTAGATCATCAAACGAAAATGTGTGTGACCCGACTTCCTCATTCGCCATGATCAACAAGGGGAAGAAGGTGAGCCGCTGGTGTTTAGTACAGCGGCTACTTTATGAACACATACATGAAGTGCTAAGTAGAGAACACGCGTTGGGAAGTGAAGTCCTCCTTCATTTGTGCAATCATTTTGCACGGTGTTTTACCCTTTTTGAAACGTTTCTCGCTGTTTGAGAAAGAAAATGACCGACTCACATTCGGAGCGTTTCGATGGAATGCTGCTTGCAATAGCTCAGCAGTGCGAAGGGGGTATCAACGAGGTATGGTATGTTACATGTAAGCTTATGCATGGATCTAGCGAATAAGACTCTGAGCTGTTTAATACCGCAACTTGCTGTGAGCTGGGTGAGAAATTAATGCAATGATTTTCCGTTGTTTTTTAAAGATCTTAAGATTTTTCAAAGAGCTAAACTTCAGAATACCCATCCACTTACTTTGCATCTCGCTGAATAACAAAAGCGCCGTACTGTTCTAGATCTATGCCTCGTTCTTTAAAGCTTTCTACGTCTTTCTGACAATCACTGGCGATGTGTTCTGGAGTTGCTGCAACCGTGAATGTTAATATGTAACTTGGTACAAGAAAACGAGAAACGTCTTTCTTGATGCCTGAAATTTGCAAAAAAAGATTTTCTAAAGTTGGAAGGTGGCGAACTTCAGTATAATTGTACAATAACTGAGCAACATTGTCCTAGTGTGGTTAAATTGGGATTTTTGAATCCCCTGCAAAGCTACACTGTACTCAAAGTTCTCCAACTTATACTCAGTAAAAGCAGCAAGAATGCATGTAAGGGGCTCCATTTATCAGCAGAAGAATAAAACTACGATGCTTGATTTTGCATAATTACAAGGCATGATACTATATAAATGAGTGAAAAGTGGCGGATGAGTGGGCAAGAGACCTCTTTACATGATATGAACATTTAAACAGTAAACTAGCTAGGACATCAGCACACAAGGGTGCCACTAGTATACATTGTATACCTCTTAGAAATCAATGTTGATGGGGAAGGGGTGAAAAAGCAGCATTATTGTTGTAGGCTAGAACGGTCATGTTGTGGCTATCGTCTTTATGGCCTTGAATTTTTTGCATAGACGTATAAGATACTACAGTTACGGACACTGAGGGGGCCACAGAAAGTGTCTGTATTAACAGGCTGTCCATATTAAGCAGATTGAAGGACTCTCTTTCCCGGGGACAGTGCAATGCTGCAGTGTATTACACAGGTGCCCTGAAAGCGGGATTGGACTGTACTGGTTTTCTGGTGTATGTTATATCCCCAGGCACAATATTCGTGATAAACAGTGATCAGTTCCCGGTTGTTCGAACGTTGGATAGTACTATCCACCGGATAAATCACTATCCAGTGGATAAGTACTAGGGAAACCAATTGCGTTATCCAGTGGATAGATTTTTATCTGGTGGATAGTGCTATCCAACGCTTGAACAACCAGGATCTGGTATTTAGTTTGGCTTTGTTGAAAGTGACTACATTAGAAAATGTTTCTTTGCAGCTGCTGGATGTTTTCTTTGGATTTCTGGAAAGAAAAACAGACTTTTTCACAGGAGCTGGGAAAGCAGAGGCAGAGAAAATTGTGATCAACAAGTTTAGAGAGCATCTAAAAAATGTTGAAGAGGTATTTTGTTACAGTAAATAGAATAATAATTATTATATACAGATTCTAGTAAATGGGCTGGGATGGAGGACTTTTATTTTATTGATTACTTAAATGGTAAATTTCAGTTTGACCAGTGTTATGGGTGTTGGGGCGGAAGTGGGGTTTAGTGGTGATATACCTAGAGTTTGCACTACAATATAAGTAGGTTTAGAGAAAATGCATCCTAAGCCCAGCAACTTCAAAATTTTAGTGGTCCCCCACAGTTACATAATTTGACTTACCTTGTTGGTACTTAATTTTGTGATTTTGGTGAGAAAGTATTTTGCAGGTTAATTATTTTCGTGATTTCAACATGCATGGAAAAAGGCATTAAATTTTGCAATTTAAGTGTTTTCAACTACATTTTATTTTTGAAAGAGTGAAAGTTTTCAAATTTCTAGTTAAACTGGACAAACAATGTGTGAAAGCTTTACAAATTATTGTTATCTTACTTACTGAAGATACGAAACGTAGCTTAGAAGTATTTAAAATGAGTGAACAAGTTTTATTGTTGGTTCATATCCTGTATATGTTGTTGCTATTGCACATTAATAATTCTTTCTGTGATTTGAATTTTCTATATGAGAATTTAATTTCACCTACTGGAATTTTGCGATGATGTACTTTTGCAAGTCTATTTTAACAATTTTTTTACAGTCGCGAAAAAAATTGAATTAAAGAATCGCGAAATTAAGTGCCAATAAGGTGATTAGATTAGCAGCTGCCTGCCATACAGTACATGTATCTATATATGTTTTAATCCTCCAACAACCATTTTTTAGGCTTCAATTTAAGATACAGAAACTGCCTTTTAGTTCATCTTACTTGCCTTTTATGCAGACCTCCTCTGCTTCTCTTCTCTGTAAAATGTTTGTTGCTTGAACATGATCTTATTCTGTGAGCTCTGGACATTCAATTTAAATTTGAAGTAGTGAAGTGAAATCTTTAGTAGAGAAGAAATCTGGTACCAAAAAAAGTTAAATTGATCTTGCTAACTTTTAAACATCCATTCACGTCATATTGTAACTTAACAGAGGAAAGAAAAAGAAAGAAAAGAAGCTGAAGCATTGAAAGCAGCAAAGGCTAAAAAAGAAGCTGAGAAAAAGGCTGAACCTAAGATACAAGAAGTGACAGAAGAAGAAGCAGAAAGGATAAAGAAAGAAGAAGAACAGAAAAAACAACAAGCAGAGAAAAATACCAAAACAGAGGATAAAAGTGACAACCAAGATGAAAAGAATGGAGAGGTTGGTATAAAATATTTTAAGACAGCCACATTTTAAAAAAAGCGCTTTATTTGAGTGTCAATGTGTTTAGAATGGACCTCTAACTGGTGATGGGACCACCATTTTACTTTGTCATCTGAGCCACACAAAGGTTTAGCCACTTACAGTGCAAAGGAAGAAGTATCTTCATCTCTGACCTTGAGTATTAGTATGGCCTTGGTAATCGAACGCTAGACCTCCTGTTCTGCAGTCAAGACTAGTGCTCTACCAACTGAGCTAATGTTCCTGCCGTGGTCAAAAAAATTATGTGCCACTGCATTTCTAACTAAAGAAACAAATTTTCTTTATTTTCAAGACATTTCAAAACATACAATGTAAGCTACATGTATCTCAGTTGGTGTTTTTATTCTAAGTATGAAAATGATAAGTGTACTTGTATTTTTTTGAAAAATCCCACATTACTGACCAGATTGAAGATGAGAAGAGAAAATTTATGTCTTGTGAAGAAACAAGCACTGAGAAGGGCTTGTACATATATGATTATATTGTGTTAAAACAATAGTTCTCCCTCTCAAATTCTAGGGGCTTTGATATTTGGCTAAAGGCTCTGCTAGTTCTGTTACTAGAAAACTCAAGTTACTATTTACCTCCAACATTTTAAACTAACAAAGTATCTTATAAACAAACTGCATGACAGCAGAAATTTAGAAGGGTCAGAGACAGCCATAATAATAAGAAGCCCTGTAAGTGACATTAGATTGTTGCTTACTGGTTATTATTGAAACTCTTGGGATTTGGTTAGACTCAAAACTACTATTTTTGATCATTAATTGTTAAAGTGATTTTAGACAGTTGACGACCGCTGATGATGATAATAGTGAGTTTAGGCATCGATGTTTTTGAGCCACACGCATCAACCGTAAGTGAGCATTTTTCCCTTTCAATAAGCCTTGACGCTATCAAATTTGTATTGCCTAGTGTCTTTACTCTTATAGAGATGACTTGCCTAAGAATTTGTTCAAAATCACAGCCAAAAAGTGCAAAAGTCCACTTACAGTTGACCTGTGTCACTCAAAAATCTTGTTGCTTAAACTCCCTAATATAAATGACTTAAATAATTATAACAATGTATAACAGGCTTCCAAAGATGATGGCTCAGATGAAGAAGAGGATGAAGATGCCAAAGGCAAAATAAAACCAAATTCAGGAAATGGTGCTGATCTTCCAAATTATAAATGGATCCAGGTATGTTTTAGTCAAATGCTGTGTACTAAAATGCTCAAAATTTCTACGGCATACCCCAAGAAATTTGGCATAAGGTGTAACTCTCTGCTAGGCAACCAACCTTTCTTAACCTTTGGCAATTAAAAGTGAAATAAGAATTGCAAAAACTTGTACAGTAGAAAGAGATGAATCTTAATACAAACTAGGCCAATTAGCTTGTCAGCAAATTAATGTGTCTACTTTCTCCATTGATTGACTGAAAATGGTGGCAAAAAAAAAGAGATGTAATTTGCTATGGCAACTGCCATAGTTTGTCTGTAAGGGGTCAAGCAGCCACTTTTTTCCCTTCTGTTCTTCCAGGGTGGCCACTTAATAGTGGTTATTTTGCCAGTGCCAGTTAATTTGCTGAATTGGTACTTCGAAGACAAAAAATGAGGGGCTTTAGGGTGAACTACAAGTTCAGTGTACAAGGTCTTAAACCAAATTTGTGTACCTCATAAAAAATCTTTTTCATGCAATATTCCCATCCCAAACTTTTGATTATGTAACGTTAGGGAGTTATAGTTTGGAAGATGCAATTGCCTCATAGCCTGGGCCACAGACAAAATTTAACCCCCGTTCTTAGCACTTGCAAAGCAGATGAGATCCTTGTTCTGGGCACCCAATGGACTCAACAAATGAGCAAGAGTGTGTTTCCAATTTCCGCTCCACTTGATCAAGGCAAGGCTAATCATGGTGTATACTCAAATCCTGGTACACAGGTGGGGGCCCAGAACAAGGATTTTGGTGCTGTTTTGCAAACAGCCTTAACCAGAGTTAAGTTTCATCTGTGGCGCAGATTTACATCACTCCAAATTCTAAAGTCATACTTGTACAGCTGTACTTCAATTTATCTACTTGTTTCTGATCTAAAGATGTCTTATGATTGAGCCATGCCTACAAATCATGATTCTGGTACCTTTAAAGGCAGTTTTTGAACATTTTCCAAACAAGTAACCCCATTATTTTCATAGGGTGGTATGCTCAGGGTGGTGATGGTGGTGGTGTATGGGGGCTGGGTGATACTACATGTACTGTGTAGAATACACAAAAGCCTTATAAACAGAATATGGGGGTTAAACTATGAACCTTTGTTTCTTCTTTATTACAGACACTCCAAGAAGTAGAGGTGAGATTTTTTAACATTCCTGTTGATTTAGGATGCTTGTTTTGCTCATTAAACCTATTGTTTTCTTTTTACGTTGCTGCCACTGTCGTAGTTTCATAAGGTCCCTATTGCCCCTACTGTCAGCATAAAGTGATGTATATTTACTTATGTTGAGCTTTTTGGTCCATTGACGACTCATTGGATTAAGTGATGATCTATCAAGCTGATAAGATCTGATTATGTTGGCTGGCTAATTATTTTATGTTTTCAAAGGCATTTTTACAGGTTTTGAAGCTTAGATATTTCATCTTTTCTTTCAAGGTCCAAATCCCATTGAATGTCAGTTTTAAAGTAAAAGGAAGGGATGTGGTCGTGGATATACAACAAAATGTAAGTATGTTTTTAACTCATTTGCTCATTTGTTAGGAAAATGTGCTATAGAAATAAATTATTTATTATCATTATTTATTGCTCCTGAAACTTTTGGTGAAAAATGCTGTTTGTACCTAGACGCTCTGTTTTCTGGTCATTATCTGGGCAGAAAAAAGTCAAAACTGCTCAAAACACTGTCTTCTAGTTGAGTACTATGCTGTCTTCTTTACCAGTGACAATCCTCTTTTACACTGCAAAATGCCAACACCAGTGTGACTTTTTTGTAGACATCTGTCACAGTCTGAAGTATAATGGACACCAAATTTGAAGTTCTCAGTTTCATTCAGAATTTCCTTTGTTTCCTAGCCCTATATAATTATTACTCAAATAGGACAAGAGAAATTGTTGTTCAACTTGAGAGGAAACTTTACCTACAACATACGTACCTGGGCTGTCACAAAGCGCTTCGGACCAGGATTTCTCCCAGCTACTATGAATGTGACCCCTACCAGCTGCTTTCATAGGAAACAATAAGAAAAAGAACCAAGAGGACTTCCTAGTTAGTTACACACCCAGTAATTATTGCTTATACATATATATGTACCTAGTAACTTCCCTTTGGTACTGTTTGGAAACAACCATGCAAAAACTTCAATTTTCATGTTCATTATTCTATAACCACAGCAAACTCCTTGTACATGTATGTCAATATATCATAAAACTGAAAAAGAAGGTTTTATTTTGCAGCATTTAAAAGTTGGGCTGAAAGGCCATCCCCTCATTATTGATGGAGAGCTTCCAAAGAAGGTATGATGTGGGGTTTTAAGCTTGTGAGGTCTTTAACCCTTAGCTTTATGGTGGTACTGGAGGCTAACATGACGACCTCTTCTACCAGCTTGAAGATGGGAAGTGTGTAAAACTGCTTGTGAAGTTTCAGACCAGGTCGACCCTATGTAACCATGATATAAGCAAGTAAAGTTTAATGTCTAGGACCATTATTTTTAGCTGGAAAAACTTGGTAAACTGGGAGCTACATGTATAAATACAAATTTGCTTTAGAAAATTATATCCTGCAGCTGACAAATTTGACAGTTTTTTTCCCCGAACTCTTCTCTTATTTTTAATTGCATATTTTAAGTTTAACAATAAATACAGGGGTAAGTGTTGGCATTCATTGACATAACACCTTACTTTGTGTAGTTGGCTTCTCATTTGTCTCCTCGGAAAGGGTACCCCTTGGAGCCAAAATACCTCCCACAATTGTTTCTTGGATCATTTACCCCTTTAAGTCCCAATAGTGACCAACATTAATTTTCTCCTAACAATATCCATACATTGTCAAGAGATTAGGTTATGAGAATTAATGAAATGATCACCTGAGAGAAAATGCTTTGATCTTTTATCAAATTTTCTCAACTCATTCTTTAAGGAAATGTATAGAGATCAGTTTGGAGAATTTATATGTGGATACTGGGGCTTAAAGGGTTACTGAGGATGCATCAGTCTGCTATTGGCCAATTTTATACCTGTTAATCGTAAGAGTCCCTCAAGTCTTTGCAAAAGGCAACTTGGTCTAGTTTCCTTTTTGTTTCCTAAGTGGCCAATAGAGAGGAGAAGTTGTTATGTCACGTTGCCATGGTAGCAAAATTTCTGGTTAAAAATGGTAAGAATGTTACTTGATACCTTGTTGCCCTCCACTGACTGACTAACAATCTCTTTTATTAGGTTAAAGTTGAAGAGTGCTCATGGACATTGCAGGACCAGAAGATTGTGGTAGTTCAGTTAGAAAAAGTATGTACTATACTGGGCTCAAGTGTACATTGTACAAGTTTTTAATATCGAGGTGAAGTGTTATGTAAGTTATCTGCTGACCAGTTGTTAGTTTTAATTGATTGCAGGCTCAGGTCCATATTGAAAAGGCGGTATAATAAATAACTTATTAACCTTGTCTGTTCAATCATCTTGGGGAAATCTCAGGCCTCGGCCTTGATGTATCGCTAAAGAGTTGAATCGTTATTTTTGTGTGTGATTAGATATGCAAATTCAGTAAGTTGTCAATGACTCTTTAGTTCCCAATGGTCAGTCCTTTTGTAGTTGTGTACATTTTTAAGCTTGCTTTTGCATTAGGCATTTATAAAGGGCAAAGTGCTGGTTCTTGCCACGACATCTTGACCGCTCAATTCTGTTGCCCCACTGCAAACGTCTCGCACCCAGGGTAAAGCAGATGTACCAGTTATTAACAATGAGTGGTAATTTCTGTCAGGTTAATAAAATGGAATGGTGGTCCAAACTAGTTTCAACAGATCCAGAAATGAACACAAAGAAAGTCCAACCAGAAAATTCTAAGGTGAGTGGAAATCCAAAGGAAGAGTGGGATCGTAGGATTGATATGGGCTGTGCTTTTAAAAGCTTTTTGTATTCACATTTCTTGGTATTTGTTAAAATTTTAATCTTGGGTTTCATCTTACAGCTGGGTGATTTAGATGATGAAACAAGAGGGATGGTTGAAAAAATGATGTTTGATCAAAGACAGAAGGCTGTAAGTGTTGTAGAATTTAAGTTATTGATCAGTTGTAATTGCTGATGATTGAACAAACCTGTAAATCTACCAGTTAGGCAATGAAAAACCTGGGCTACAAGGCATGGTGGAATAATTAATAACATGAACTAATGTCATTTTGCATTGCCCATACACAACATTCAAATGGTTTACTACTAGTGGCAATATAATACTAGAAATGCGTGTATCGCAGGACCTCTGGAAGTTCGGGGGAGGCCCATAAAATGTCAGGGATGGAAGGGGGAGAAATGTGGAGTAAATTGTGTCACTGGGGCGGGTGGGTTTCAACACTGGCGTTAATGTGGGAAGGTGAGATGTAGTGAATCTCTTTTTTAAATTTGAACCCAGTGCTCTGGTGTTAAAAAGGATCTTCTGGTTGCTGTTGTTAAGGAAGGGTAGCCAATGTTGCATAGGTCCCGTGTATAGTATTAATGAAAAACAACTAAAGTGTGTTTACTTTCCTACCCCTCCCCCCCTCAAGAAAACAGCCTTAAATTAATAAACCAGTGGCTTGAATAGTAATGGTGATTAAGAAGGTGATATTGACAGTATTGACTTATGATCTCGTTAATGTTGACGATGATGGTGATTATTACGGTCGCCAGTGTCGCTAATGATGGTGACGGTATTAATGATACTGTTGAGAGTGATGATATTGATAATGATGTTGATGACAATGATGGTGTTGATGAGAATGATGACGATGCTGATTATGTATTCCCTAGATGCCCGTACTTAAAAAGCATTTGGCATACTACTTATTAAGATGACCCTTCACTTATCTTCATGCAATGACAATTTTTTCACAGATGGGACTACCAACATCAGATGAACAGAAAAAACAGGATATTCTTAAAAAGTGAGTCTCCATGTTTGTTACAAAATTTTCAAACGGGGAGTGAAGAAAAATCTTGTCCGATGAATTTCATTTGGCTTTGTTCAGCGACAAAGATCCTTACCACAATCTGTTTTCATCCATAAGCAATACCGTATAAACCGTGCACAATTATTAGACTGGTGTCAGGTCGTTTCGCTTCAAAATCTTTTCCTTACATTATAAAGTTGATTTGCTGCAAAACATATTCTGTTCCACTGCATCACAAATAGATTCCCCTTACAATAAAAAATATTCAAGCTAAGACGCTTCAATAAATAATATGGAAATGGAGAATGCAGTGCAAATAGACAACTGAAATCAATTTTAGATTTATGTGATTCCATAGATTGAAGCTCTTCATTTCGGTCTTGAGTGCAAACTCTGTAGTCTCAGACTTGAGAAGTTCAATAGGGAGCTTAAGCAACGGTGTTTTTGAGCGACGGACGTCAACTGGAAGTGGACTTTTTGCGTCATTGGGCAGTGGTTTGGTTGAAACTCTCTGATAAATCGTCTTTATAAGAGAAAAGACACTTAGCAATACAAATTTGTTAGCGCCAAGGCAGATAAAAAGGGAGAAGGCCTCACTTCCGGTTGACGTGCGTCGCTCAAAAACGTCCTTGCTTAAGCTCCCCAATGTCGCGCACCGTAGGGGGCTTTCACGCAACTAACAAAACCAACGGCTCATTTTGCAGCGCAGCTTCTTCGATATGCAACGAAACGACATTGTAATGAAACAACTCAGTGGTTACATAAAATTAGGGTGACGCAAATCTACCATTGCTCTGACAGTTGGCTCGGTTTTATAGGCACGCCCAAAATCATAGAGTGCAAATGCACTAATTGCCAATTAGTGTATTTTTTAAATTTCTTATCTTCTTTTTTCTCAGATTTATGGAACAGCACCCTGAGATGGACTTCTCGAAGGCGAAGTTTTCTTGAGAGATGCAACGTGTGACAACCAAAATGTGCTCTCCGTACAAGTTGCGCGAAAGATGCTTCGTAGGAGTTTAGGTTACCTCGCATCAGCAGATTGAAGATAAACATTTCTTTGCGTTGCTAGCGGAAAGCACCTCGAACTGAAATAACTATATTGTCTCCGTATTTTTCAACTTTACTGTATTTGTCATTTCACAGTCGCATTGTTAGTTGCTCCTGTAGCCTGCGTGGCAGGCGTTTGAAAGGGAAGGGGAAAGGGGTTTTGGGCGCGAGAGAAACGCGAAGGGCGCGCCAGGGAAGAGCGTTTCTCTCCCGCACAAAACCCCTTTTCCCTTCTGTTTCAAACGCCTGCCACGCAGGCTACTTTTTAAGTAATATATCAAGCTTGAGACGCAGAGTTTCATCACCAGATGAAATACTGAGAAGAGAGTTGAAAATACTACGAGCAGGGGAGTATTTTTGACGATCTTCGAGGTGTTTCATCTGGTGATGAAACACTGTGTCAAATGCTTGATATTACCTGTACTTCTCAAACGAAATGATTTTAGAAGGAGAAATTAAGGATGCAAAAATGAGCAGTTTTTCATCTGATTTCCAAACACTCATTAAACCTTAATTTCCTTTGTATTTTCTTCATGAATTATTGATGAGTTTTAGCATGTGATGTGAACAAATAGACTAGGTACTTCATTTCATTTTACAGGATCTCATTTCAGTTTGCTTAGAGGTATTACGAAAAGGTACAGATGCAGAATAGCCGTTCTCAAATAATAATAAAAAACTCCTCCAAAACGTAGGCGTTCAAGCTGTTTAAATTTGTAGAGAGTCATTTTCCTGTTAGACAGTTTATGTAACGCTAATAACGGAAGGTGGGGACATTAGTTTCGAATATTTTAGTGAAAGCGGCCTTTGGGAAGAAAGCATTAAGGATAAAACATTCGACCGATCAATAATCAAAACTCAGTTTTGATAATTGAAGTCTTCACAGGTTTTACCAATACATTCAATTTACTAATAAAATACAATGTAAATGCAAACTTTGCATCTGCCTTTTTTTCAAGTTCAAAGTACAGTGAAACCTTCTTAATATGGACCGCAATGAAGTGATGGTAAAGCCAAGTATCTGTATGACAGAGGTGTTCGTATTAAAGAGACGGGTAGGGTTTGTATGAAGCCTTTTGTCGCAAACAGGAAAAACAATTTATGATTAAAAGCATGTCGCACTGAATGCGGAATTCAGGAAAAGCCAATAGCCATTTACGGACATAAACAGTTCGCGCAGTGATAAAGCCTGGGCTAGGTTTGGATACTCCCCTTTTCTAACTTACAAGTTAAATTTGAGTTCACCGTTTCTCGTTTTCAAAGGCCTTTTCTCTCTACTAATTATTAAGTTGTAAGCTAAAATTTGCCTAATAGTTCAGAATTGAATTCAAATTTTGCGCAAACCCTGCTTGGGTTATCCTAACCACGCTTTAAACAATCCGGTTCAGACCTTTTAAACTGGACCGAGTTGATTTTCTACTCCGTGGTGAAGGTTTTCGAGAAATTGTCATGTTGCTATTTACCGCGGTTCACTGAAGTTCGAAAAGTTGCCATTTGTGAACATGGATAGCCCGTTCCATATCAGCAGTCAGACAAAACCGCGCTGAACAGACTTTTTAGAAAGAAAGACGACGACCAGGCCACAATTTCACGGCGTTTTTACTGTACTGATAACTTATACCCGTCCCCAGGGGCGGGGCGGGGGTCTTTAGGAATTTTTGGGTGAGGATGTGCCGCTGCGACCATGGAACCCTTAGCCTATACCAGATAGAGCTAGTTGAACCGAATTTTGCTACCCTAAACTCCTCAAATCCCGCTATCCTAGAGTAGGATTTTAGGCTGAGTTGTGTAAATTTAAACTCGCCGATTTATTTATTTTTTAAATTTTGATTGGCAATTTCCGGCTCCTCTAGGCTAGCCTAAAATGTTTAACCAATTCATTAGTTTCCTGGAAAATGATACCCTATATTCTACACCCAAACTCTCTGATTTACATACCCTATCCCAGCGTAAACAGCTTGAAAACCATACCCTACAGGGCGGCACATACCTACATAGCCCATATCTGGCAGTACCCCCCCTCCCCCAGTACCCGTCTTAGTTCAATTATTTGATGTAAGTTTTCATTTTGAATACGGCAAATTCTTTATTTCCCATACAAACACTCATGTTACGCTTGGGCGAACTGAGGTTAAATTCCTGCGGAGCGTTTAGCCTTAATCATTGTTAATCAGGGAAAAAGGGAACAGAGAAGTTTCGCCCCTCAAAATTTCCCTTTCAACATGCGCAAAGGAGGTCGGGAAAGCCCACCGTTTTTTCCTTGTTTCCATGATGCCTTTCGCTTCGCGGCTCTAGAGTTTGCTCAGGCTCGGGAGGGTCACGCCAGTCAAGGAGCGCTTATGGCGGACTTAGTCCATTTAAGTTCAGTTTTTTCGGCTCTTCGGGCTATAGGAGTATTCAAGACGAAGGAAACTATTTTATTCCTTCGCAGAACAGTGAATTTTCCCCGCCAAATCTCGGAACCAACCTCGTCCCCAGGGTCTTCTCGTTTTCCAATATGGCGGCGGCAGGAGAGAAGACCCTGGCACACAGCAGAAATCACGTGACTGATTTGTCCACGGAGAGTGGAAATTTATTCAAAATGGCGGCCAAGATAAAGAGTGAGAGGATCTGGGTACGAGGTCTTGAGACTGGTGAAAAACAAACAAAATGGCGGCAAAGGCAGAACTCAAAAGAAGCTAAAAATATGAAAGAATACACTTACAAGCCACAGGAATACGGTAGAATGATATAGCGATCTTATTTTCTGTTCAATGACCTTCATTTGTTTTAAGCCTGAAAGTTCTAGCGCACACGGCTGTCTACAACTTAATTTCTCGGTACCGACCTTTTTCAGCGTTTTCTTTTTTGCCGTACCCTGAGCGCCAGAGGTTCAGGTTTCTTCTTTCGTGAAAAGGGGAGCTTTTTCTAACCGTGAGCGCAATTTATTTCTTCATGTTAGGAATTTCGAGAACAGACCTCTGAAGCCAGGGAATTTTCTGTCATGACGCTCTAAGACCTCTTCCGCTCCGAAATTCAACTAAGCATTAAATTGAGTCGCAGACACTTTAAGCTGATAAGTTATCGTCAGTTTTGTTACAGATCTTCATGAGGTTTTTGACTGTTGTTTTTCTATCTGCACAAATTTTAACTGAACTCTGATATGTAAAAAAAAATTTTTTTTTTTTTCTGAAAACAAGAACCAGAGAACACTATTTTGTTAATATAATTTGAGGAAACTTTGGTTGAAAATTAAACAGTTCCTTGGTCAGTTTGGATATTTTGTCACTTGAACTGGTACAGGTAATAAAATTATTGTCAATCTTCATCTACTTCACAGTTTTTAGACTTTGTTATTGGCTTTTGATATTTAACCCCGTTCACAGTGCTTCCGGGCAATAGAGATAGGAGCCTTATTTAATCTAGCAAAGACGGTGGTATTAGTTCCCCAAAAAAAAAATGCCAAGTGAAAAGCCCAAGTACAAGAAGGTTGGAGGTCAAGCAGCCGAGGATCAAAAACAAACCGAACTTCCAGTTGGTGAATAAATCATCCTGGATCGGTCCACAGAAAGCTTTACAGTTTTCATTGATTTATACAGTCTCTTATTTATTAGTGAAGAATAAGAAAAGGGGGAAGGTGGGATGGGGTTTAAAAAGACGGGGCTTATTGTTAAAACTTTCTTTCACTGAAAAGGAGGGCTTATTTGAGAGAGGAGGCCTTAATAGAGGATTTAAGATGTTGTTATTATTGTTTTTTTTTTGCCTCTCAGATGTAAAAAAAAGCATTAAACCCACTTTAATAGCTAGCAAAAGGTGAAGAGTGTTTCCATTGTTTCTAATATAGCAATCCAAAATGTATTCTCCACTTTGAAATAGATTTGATTTTCAGAGCAAAAACTTTCTTAATCCCTGACTTTGGTTTATTTGACATATTACTTGGGGCTGCACTTTGCCATGTCAATGTGCAAATTGACTAAAGGCTAGACTCCAGTTGTTCAAAAATTTGATAGTCCCATCTGAGTCATGTGCGCAGTAAAAGTTCCTATCTCATTTGGGGATAATAGATGTTTTAAGTCAAACATGCTTTGCTCGTCAGATGGGCCCTTTCGTACTCTAATTGAGACATGACTTGGTATTGGTGTGCTGATTATCGATCATAATTTATAAAGCATCAGAAACCTAAAGCAAAGTGAGTATTGCTTATACAAATGTTCAGTTGATTGTTGTGGAAAATTCACAAAAACATTGTTGACAAATAAGGACATTAATTCACCTGTGTTGTCTTTTTGATGGGGTCTTAATTTAGTTTATATGATGTTTAGTTGGTTTAACTATGTGACAGATAAGCCTTCTTACAAAATTATTTTCAGTGTTGAAAGTGGCACACAGGGGGCACAAACTATAATCCACTATAATCGATTATCAGTTTAATAGTTGGGTTAATCTGATTATTTCTGACGATATGATTATAATACAGACACTATTACTAAGACTAACCAACACCTTAAAGTAGACTTGGAAAGTATTTAAGCCAGCACATCTAACAGCTGCAACCTCACACCGCAACACCTAAACAAGCTAAAAGCCTTGCCTTGTCCCTGTGTGGCATTTTCCAAGGCCTTAATTCTTGGTCAATTCATTTCGGTGACTTATCTTAGGCAAACTGGAGGGAAACTGTTTCACTATTTCGCTTGGGACCACGTGATCTAAAACTCATTGGCCATGACTAGGCAACTAAAACCTCACTATGCTAATGGGGACTCTGGCACAACACACTTCAAAAGCCTTTGCATCCCGACATGAAAAATCCCATGATCGAGATGCTCCAGGCCCTTCCCTCTTGTTTATTCAGTGGATAGTGATATATGCACCCTTTGAAGTAGTTTATTTTTTTAAATCCGAGTTTTAGAACTGAATTATAGCTGCTTCACAATCATACCCAGCTGGTGTTGGAATACTACAGTACCAGCCACTTTTTCACCTGGTCCACAAACCCCCTTTTCAAGGATATAGTGACAAGAACAACATGCACACTTAGCCTACAGTAATTAGAAGCTCAATTGACAGGTTTTAGTTTGACAGAAAACGTATTTATCTTGGGGTCACTGTCACCCCATGTCTGGAATCTGGGAAATTTTTCTCTTGGAATCTGGAATAAAGGTCGGCCTAAAGTACTCTGGATCCCACTTATAACTGGAATCCGGAATCCATGTTCCACTGACAGAGAATCCAGAATGCAGTATCCATGGCGCAAAATTGAGAATCCAAGACTGTCAGATTTCCTTGAATGGGCTGATCACTGTTTTCAACTTGATAAAATAAAAGACATCATGTGCTTTCATTTATTTTATTTTTGCAACTAGAAAGAAATCCCACAAGCTTCAATACATCAATATGTAAGTTTTTCATTTCTGAGAAAGGAAACAGTTTATTTTCCCGATGTCTCTGTATTTAGCTGTATTTTACTGCCAATGAAATGAGCAAATAATAATAAATCATCATTATTGTGACACTAAAAACTGAATAAATGAAAAGTCAGGATTAAAAATATCAAGTGATAGCGACACTATGTTTGGCTTCAATTTTTAGTTTTGTTTCGACATCTGCCTCTCTCGCTCCTCGTCCCCCTTCAAAATCACAGTGGAAAAATTAAAAGAAGGCCAGGTTAGGCCCATGAATGTTACGATCAAATGAAAAGAATGTTTCACTTGACAAAAAACTGCTGAGACGAAGCGCAGATTATGCAAGATTTCCGTACAACCCCATACATTAATAATATTATGCATACAGCTTTTGTTCAAAGAAAACAAAAGGCAGAACAATACTACACCTTTGCAACGGGCAGCTAAACTTACTGATAAGCTGAAGCCTTGCAAGTATTCTTTCACAAGTCGGGAATTAAAGAAACAAATCTTTAGTAATTTTCGGAACACACAAACCAGAAATACCTCTACGCGTTATAATATTCCCAGCGATTACCAGATATCACTATATTCGAATCTTTGCCTTCCAACGGTACAGTCACAGTTTTCCGAACAATCAGACCTGAATTCTGTCCACCTTTTAGGTCTCAAACACTGAAGAAAGCACTTCTCAGCCTCTACGAAGCCCTCAAAGGTTAACCATCTTTGTTTTGGAAGGAATAAACCAATGAGAGCGCACGTATGAACGCGCTATGGAATGCACCAATCAGCGATCGTTTTAGTTCGCTGTGTGCCAGGGTCTTCTCTCCTGCCGCCGCCATATTGGAAAGTGAGAAGACCCTGGGGACGAGGTTGTCTCGGAACGAGAAACTTGCCCGGATCTGTGGGCTCAGTGTGGCCAGCGGAGTTATCGAATGAGCCAATCAGAGGGAAATGAAATCAACGAGTGGCAAGTTCAAAAATCTGCCTAGTTCTGCCCAGCTAGCCTCTTGTTGTGATGTGATCTGAGTGTTTTATATTTCTTCTTTCATTTCCTAAATTCTCGTGTGTGATCTCTTGTGGTATTTGGAAAATGGCTGAACAGCAGCACAACTGTATTTCGGATGGTGAAGAAGATCCCGAGGAATGTCAAATCGATCCCATCGTTGTTGGCGACAACGATGCCGAGATTCGCAAGAATCTCTTCGACGAATTTGATGTTGCTACAAAGCAAAAGACATCTACGGACAGCTCGAGCTCTGGTCGAGAATATATGAAAGTTTACTTGCGAATACGCCCCTTCATAAATGAAGAAATTGAAGCGAAGGAAAACCAGAATTGTTTGGAAAAGGAAAGTTCCACCGCCGTTTTGATGAATGCACCGAAGGAATCGTTTGCGTTCAAAAACAGCACTCGTGCTGGCGGCGAGATTTCGCATCGATTTTCATTTTCCAATGTTTTCAATGAAGACACGACGCAAAAGAAGTTTTTTGACGAAACAACGTTGCCTTTGGTGGCTGACTTCATTCATGGACAGAATTGTTTGGTCTTTACTTATGGAGTCACCAACTCGGGAAAGGTGAGGTGACAGTGAATCGAAGCGGAGACTGTCAGACAGACGGCTCAACAGGCATCCTTTAATATTAATTTATAGAGAGGAAATGTTATTTTGTGATAAGGCAATATCCTTTAATTTGTCGCTTAACTGATCATATTGTTGGGTTAGTTAGGAGACAAAGGAAATTGAGAATCAAACTCCATGTGAACCTTAGATGATTCAAAATAAGCTTAACCAGAAGCATATATATTAAACCCTTCTGGCTTAACTCCTCAATCCTAGACCAAGTTAGTGCAAAAGGGCTCACCACAATATCATGGCTGACTACTTACTCACTTTATCATTTGACAGCAGAGTAATCAGCTTCTAATTTGTGTAGGGTAGAAAGTACGTAATTTAATTCCTGAAGCTCGTACACAGGCACCATATTCATCATTGATCAATGTTCTTGTGGTTCAAATTTAACTACGGTTTCAATGATGTTTTATCTCCTTATTGGCGTTGGCTATGGATTCAAGTGTTTGCAAGGCCCAGGTCGAACGTATATTTTTACCGAACCTATTCCTTTCAATTGAGTATAAGAAAAGATGGATGTTTGAATCGAAAGTTCGACATATCTAATTTGGGTCAACCCTGAATTAAGATTGAGTGGCCCACATAAAGAATTTTGACTGTGGAGTGACTTGGTTTCAAACGTCGAACTTCTCATGTGGGGAACCTAATACATAAATTACTAAAATTTTATTTCAATGTCAAGCATTTTAGACCATGGAACATCGTGAAAAAGATTAATTAAGTTTGACTTCTGAATCAACCGTCGAACTTATCATATCATTTGGGTTGACCTAAATAGGTATTAAGTTCGGTACATGAAAAGATCAACATTTGATTTAACTGGGCCTAAACAAGTCTGAAACAACACAGGGTGAAAAGTTGCATTTTGTTTCCCTCTGATTTGCATTAAAAATGTGACAAAGTCACACTGCAACAGGTGAGAAGGGAGAATGGTATAATAAGGGTTAATGTAAATAGAGTTGTATGACCTTTCCTGTACTTAAGGCAATGTCTTAAGCAACCAGCTGAGATCATAATATGGGAAAATGCTGTCAAAGTAAAAGCAAGCGTTAGCAGCTGAGACCATGTACAAGTGGCAAAAGCAATATTTTGGAAATGCACTAGGGATCAAGAAGTCCTGTCCATTTGTTCAGGACAAGTACATTTTTTGCAAGGCAAAAAACTTTTTAAGCTCACATGTATACCCAATGGGCAAGGGGAGTTAGCTTGTGGTAAGATTTGTTCATCGACTAGGACAAGCAAGCAATGGCCCCAGCTAAGTAAAACATGAGCTTCTAATTAAGGATAAGCTATGTTTTTTTTAGACTTGTGCAATAGAAAATGGAAATTAAACAAATGATAAAATTAAATCAAAATTCATTCTTGCCTTGTACTTTACATGTACTTAATCCTAGTTTGTCGATTATAAACCCTTTTTAGACCTACACGATTCAAGGAACTCCTAAAGATGGTGGTATTCTGCCAAGGAGTCTGGACGTACTCTTCAACAGCATTGAAGGAAAGCACTATACCAAGATGAATCTCAAGCCCAGATTCTGCACAGACGTTATTAGGCTCACAGAGGATGAAGAACGGAGAGAGAATAGCTACAAGAATGCTTTGATCTCTTCTCTGGATAAAGATGTAAGTCTCTAGATGTCATTACAGATTACTTGACCATAATGACCAGCAGTTATGCTTTCTCACTAAATGGCTCTTTAGAGCAAAGTGATTATCCCACTCGGGAGTTTTGTTTTACTTATACAACACTCATGTACTGTTCAAAGCAAAATGTGCAAAGAAAGTTATCTTTGCTAGCAAAAACCCAGTGTTAAAAGCAGAATGGCAAGAGCAACGGATAAACACCACATTTAACAACCAGCTTAGGGACTTGTCAGAAATTAGCAGGGGGGGGGGAGGGGGGGTTGGAATTTTAAATTTGGGTTCAGAAATGAAATGGAATGGGAGTGAAATTTTCTAACCCTCCCCTTGACCTTAGCCGAAAATATCATGACCCTCCCCCTCTTGTATAAATGATAAAATCTAGTTCTTGCAATCCACTAGGGTGAGTCAGAATTATGAAAGCTCAAAATATATTTCTAATCTGTTCTTTGTAATACCATATACATACATTTTAGATGAAAGCATTAAGCTGAGTCCGGCTCTGATTCTGACAGCTGATCACTCGACTCTCCTATTTCTCCAAGGTGTTTTTTACAAAATAAAGAACTTCTTTTTTCTTCTGTGGGTTAACCCCTACATGATCACGGACACATATTTGCATTACCATCCCCCTTTTAACGGCCCATTTTTCACGACCCCTCCCTTTTCTGCAGTCTCAAAAAGTTGTGACCCTCCCTCTGTTTCCACTCCCCCCTTCCCCCCTGCTAATCTCTGACAAGTCCCTTACATGTAATCTCTGATTATGCCAGGGCCACTTGTGGCCTGCCGAATAAGAGCCAACATGTACCTGCACTAGCAGACAAATTTGGAATTGTCTTAATTGAATTAAATAATCTAAACCAAAAATTGTCTGCACTGCAAACTATTTACTCTTAACAGGCCTTCACATCTCTCTTTACTTAATGAAAAGAATAATGGCTTAAATACAACAAATGATTGACAAGAAAAACATGTTTTCGTTTATTTTGTTTTTCTTTTGGGACAAATTTTTTCCACAATGCCGTTGAAGACTGTCCTGTCTTGGACAAAATTTGTAAAACTGCAACAAAATTTGTCTAAACAAACATCTTTTTCACCAACATAAGTGTGGATAGGCCCTTAGCAAAATGAACTTGGTTACATTAACGTACATTTCTTTGTAGTGTTATATTACTCTTGTAGGCAACTACATTCCTCCATCAATCGTGTCTGTATAAAAAAATAATAAGCTTGCTTGCCAGATTTTCTCTTAACCAGATCTTGTCTCTTTCTTGTCGTTTCAGGCCTTTGATATCAATGCACTTCTCAAACTTGATCAAGATCTTTCTGCCGATGTGTCAAAGGCCAGTTGTACTGAGGAATCAATGCTTCATAATACAATTCAAGATGGAGATGTTGAACATGGTAGGGAAGTACACTTGAAAGCCCTTTAAAACAAACTTGTGTCCTGTTGCTTGTTGTTGTTGTGAGAAAAACTTTGTCATAGCTCAATGTACCTTTATTAATGACTGAACCACCTTAATTGAAAAACTTTTCCCATAGTTCGAATTCTGATTCTAACATGAAGAGTCCTTGACTTTAAAACATTTGTATGATGCTATTTGTGTATTAAAATGATATCAAGTAGAGAAACTAAATGCATTCCTCAATGTAATAGCTTCGTTTTACTAGGAGTAACTCTACAGAGTGACAGGAAATTTAATGAGCATGTAAGAACCAAGCTTGTCAAAGCAAACAAGTGTTTACACGTCATACGAACACTAAGAAAGGAACGCTACTCTCAGGCAGAGATAGATCACCTTTTTATATCTATTGTTTTACCTAATTTTAGCTATGCGCTTTCAGTCTATGGGGCATCGGAGTGCGATCTTACAGTTATACAAAATTTTTTAGACCGACGCCATAAATGCCGTTTTATTTCATTTCCAGTTTTTATCAAGAACCTTTTAAATAAACAAGACCGAAACATTTTAAAGAAATTAATATCAACAGATTGCCACCCCCTGAAAGATATCATTCCTCTCCAGAAGACTTATGTACATAATCTTAGGAAAAAAGGCTGCGCACACCCGAAAATTAATACACAGCGTTTTATGAACACCTTTGTAAGTAGATTGATTTTTAAGCTCCATTCATTGTAATGACATACTTTTTTAACATATATATGTAGATATTTTTATCATAGTTTTTTATCTTCCGTATTAATTTGTAACATACTGATATGTAGTTTTATCTTTTGATCAAATAAAGACTCATTATTATTTTATTGTTATTATTATTTCTTGTTGTTTCATAACAGAGCTGCCGTCAATGGATGCAGGAGAGAATGATTCGAGAGTTGTGGATGACACCACAATTGATGTTGAAGCCCAAGGACCTGTGAAATTTTCTGTGTGGGTTTCTTTTGCTGAGATCTACAATGAAATTATTTATGATTTGTTGGAGCCTTGTCCGATGGGAAAAGGAAAAAAGAGGACTACTCTCAGGCTAGGAGATGATACAAATGGAAACCCCTATATTAAAGGTGATAATCTGCCACAGTTTTATCCCTGGGTTAAACTTTTTTTTCCTTTGTTTTAACACTCATTTTCATACATTACAATACCAAAAAACCCAAGGCAAATAGAATTTGAAACAAAAATGAAATTGAACAACAACAACCCTGCAGGCAGAGGCCCTTCAATCTTCCTAGACTAGGAAGATCAAAGGGCCTCTGCTCTCAGGGTAAATAGCAACATACATTGCATAAATGTATACATGTTATTGTATAATTATGACTTGCAGTTAATTTTTCATGTCAGTTAATTTTGATTTTTCCATTTTTGGGGGTATGGTAATGTATGTTAATGAATTGAAAACAAAGGAGAAACAAAAATTAACTGTGAAATAAAAGATTAACTGCAACATACATTTCAATAATAACTATGTTGATGTCAAGTTAAGTCTTTTTTCTGTGACCAGAATTTCTAGATTAGATTTAATTCTGGTTGCTTTGAATCTTGTTGTTGATAAAATATTCCTTTAGACAAGTTGATATTTTTCATAAAATAGTGCTAAAGGATTACATGTTGGAACCTTAGACCTTTTAAAGCTTATTTACCTTAGTTTATTTTTGAAATTATGCGATCAATTCGGTTAACTCTTGACTTTAGCTCTAACATCCCACGTCATTTGTTTATTTTATTCACCAACAGTAATAGCTTAACTGTAAAGAGGGCAGCATACTAGGCTTACTTATAGTCAAGAAAAACATAAAACAACCTCAAATCATTAATAAACCAATCTGATCCTAATATCATGGATTAGTTCTAAATATAATGGGACACATGTTTTATGTAGAAATTATGCTTTGTTTAAATAATGTGATAGAGATAAAATTATTATTTTTGTTCTAATGTAGGATTAAGGGAAATCTATGTATCCAGTGCCGATGAAGCCTATAAGGTATGTTAGACAATCAAATTTTCTACTACCATTCCCTTTGTCCTGGCCATGCAAAGCAGATGTGAATAGTTTTATGAGGAAACACAAAGTACTATTAGGGACGAGAAAATTCTCTACGCATGGAAAGTTATCAGAAAGCTCACTCTTAATCTTACAGCAGCATATATTTGTAAGTTGCTTATACCACTGGTGCCAAGGGGGCCAAACACTACTACAGCACAGCCCTTATTGAGGCTGTACAGCGTTCAATATACTTCTGAGTTTTTATTGCCATTAATATTTTTTATTGTGTCACCTTTACAATTAATTATCCAACTGATGTTGTTCTTAACCGTATGGTTTGTCATTCCATTCTAATCTTGGAAGCCTTTTGATGACCACATTTTTGTGTCTATTCATTGACAAAACCTTATCAGCTAAAACGGATCAGATCTACCCTGTAAACCCTCTCTGTCGCTTTCCGTTAAACCCTTTGTTTTTGTTACTAATGGTGAGTTACAGGCTGCCTATGAACTGATCCAGTTTTAATACCTTCTGTGGCCTAAACTTATTGATCTGTCTCTAAAACAGGGTGGCTGTTATTTCGTGCAATGTGTGTCAGGTTAGGGTTGGAGAAGCTTGTTATAATGTTTGATAGTGGAACTGCTATTCTCGTCAGCAAGCGAATGACATTGTATTGTTTGCTTTCAGATTCTTAAGATTGGTCAAAAGAATCAAAGGATTGCATCGACCAAGTTAAATCAGTGCTCTAGTCGCAGGTAAATCTACAAATCTTATGGCTGTGGACAACACATGTATGTACAAGAAAAGCCTAAGGACACAGTGCTCACTACCAAATAATGTTTAGATGTACTCTAGACCACTTAGCTAAGGCCTGTTTCAAACGTCGTCCTACTGCCCTGTAGCACGGCAAGGCTTGCCGTGCTACACGGCACTTAGCACGACTTGGTTTCAAATGTCGCGCTACTGCTGTGCTAAAGTCGAATTTAATTCGATCAATTGAGTTCGGCAGGGCAGTAGCACGACGTTTGAAACGGGCCTAAGGAGACTATGAGGGTGGCCTGCACTGAATATATAGGCTTGAAGATATCGTTATGCTGTTCTGTGCCATTTACTGTAAACATTACTTGTTCTGTTTATTCTTTGCAGTCATTGTATATTTAGTGTAAAAGTCTTGCGAGTCGTGGATGTGGAAGATCCCCATGTGGCACGTGTCAGCAGGTAAATAATGCATCAGTCAATTCCACCTGCGCCCAGCTCCCCCCCGGGCAACTGCGGGGCATTTGCCCGCCTTGTCAGTCCCGGGGGTGGGGCATTTGAAAATTTTGCACTGCCTGGGGGCCGGGCATTTGCCAACCCCCGGGCCATTTCCGAGCTTTTGACACGCACGCGGTTTTCTATCAGAATATAACTACACAGAAGGTTTTACTGGACAAAAAGCAGATTGGCTCATCTGTCAAGGACAGGAATAAATTGCAGAGGGTTGTAAAGGCATGTTCTCGATTTTACATGTATGTATGCATTTCTTCATTGCTTATCAAGCCAGAATTACGTAGCGAAATTGGAGCTATCGATGTGACTCAACGTTTTTTGGTTATTGAATCAAATTTCTGTTGATATTATTTGAAGAACATCCTTTCATATTTATAAAACTATTCATAACATATAAATTTACAGCTGTCTATTAATTTTGATGTCAATAATTTCATATCAATACTAAAACCGTAAACTGGTGCATGTCGTCGCGGCGTGAAGTCTTACAAAGGAAGACGTCAATTGAAACAAAAAATCGCATATTAAAATGCTTAAAATGGCACTATTTGACTGTGCGAGCAATGAAAAATGTTGTAGTGTTGACGTAGGACGGGGCATTTGCCCTCTTTTTTCGTCCCCACCCCGGGGGGGTTTGACAACTCAAGAGTCCCCACCCCCGGGAATTTGCCATCCGAGGCAAAAAAAATGCTAATGCCCGGGGGTCAGCCCGGGGGGGCGCTGGGCGCAGGTGGAATTGACTGATGCATAACTCAAAGAATGAATATTGACAAAACTGCTGGAAAGCCAGAAGAAGAGCACAGATTTTTCTTTACGATTCCACACGATAAAACTTACAGGGTTCTTAGATAGTCTTGAACCCTATGCAAAGCACTGAGTATGGATAGTAGAGATTAACTCTGCGAAATAGAAAAATGTCTGGAGTTTTTTTTTCTTCAAAGAGACCCCAAATACAGTGTACTAAGTAAGTGAGATTTTTCCCGTAGTCAAATTTATTCATTCTCGCCTCTAGCCGAGACATTCAGTTACAGAATGAGAGGTTTCAGAACTCTCTTATTATGTCCGCTTGGACCCTGCGTTTTTCAAGGTCTCTGTTGATCACCTATCTGTTAACCCTGGAATTGTGAAAAAAATAGTATTGTTTTTGAAAGAAGTCTTGAATTTTGGATCCAAAAATCTGTACGAAACCTGATCTTACAGGAACCTCAAGAGTGGACTGAATTTGGATTTATTTACTTCACTTACAGACTTTCGTTCGTTGATCTGGCTGGTTCAGAGCGTTATTCCAAAACACACAGTAAAGGAGATAGACTGAAGGAAGCAGGCAATATCAACACTTCATTGATGACTCTCGGAAAATGCTTGGAATATCTGAGATACAACCAAAAAAATCCGTAAGTTAATATATTAATTTAATGTTCCTTTTAATTTTGTTTGCTTTGAAATTACGGACTCTCTATTTGCCGGGGGATACAGAAAGTTTTACAGAAAAGTGGCTATTTCGACATCCTAGCGGTACGCAGGACGCATGTCATACATGAACCTTGTATATGGCCCAGCTCGCCACGAGTCCTTCGTAGTTCAGTGGTTAGAGCAAAGGGTGCAAAGAAAATCATTTTTACAGCTTGCCATTTGGGCAAGCTGAAGCTAGCATTTACTAGCCCAGACGTCATTTCAACTGGCCCCAAAAACGTTTTGTTCTTCTGTTATTCAAATTCCTCAAAAAACATCACTTTCCCGTCGGGCAAGTTAAAAACAGAATTCACTAGCCCGATAGCAAAATCCACTAACCCCGGGCTATCGGACACTACTTTCTTTGCACGCTGAGAGCATCATACCCGTGTACGGAAGGTCATAGATTCAATTCCTTCCGGGGACTCAGATTTTTCTTTCTTCCAGACTATGCTCTTGACATGTTGATTACATAATTTCTCAACTGGGTCATTTTTTCACGCTGCAGTTTTCATTTGAGTAGGTAAACGGTAGCTTTTCTTTGCGTAATATTGGAAATTAATACTGGAACAGTTGTACATATAAAAGTGCATAACTAAACTTTTTGCGCGTGTAAACTTTTTGGTCTTTTTTATTTTCGAGCATTACAAATTCACCAAATCCGGTATAAACGAGGAGATGCTCATGAATGACCTCTCTTTTCTTACAGGAATCAACCTCTAATCATCCCGTTCCGTGAGAGCAAGCTGACGCGTTTGTTTCAAGGATTTTTTTGCGGCAAAGGACGCGCTTCCATGATTGTGAACGTAAATATGTGCGCTTCCGCTTTTGACGAAACTTTCCACGTGATGAAGTTTTCAGCAATCGCTAAGAAGGTAAAGAAAAGTTACTCATTATTTTTCGATACTAATATTCATAAAGTTTAAGTCTCATTTCACTAAAAAAAAGTACTGAAAAAGAGAACTAACAGCTTGAACGGAATGCCCGAGAAACATAATTATTGCTGACGCAAATTCTGTTTCCTGGACGCCAGAAACAGTTATATGCAGATCAAGTTCAAAACATTTTGGCCTTCGTAGCGAATTTTCCCTCGTTTTGCACTTTAAGAGGAGCAGTATAAAAGTTTAGGTTCTTTTAATAGTCTTTCAGCCAGGAAAACCGCTTATTGCGGAGTGTTTGTGTTCGTTCATTGTCCCAAACGAATGAACAGTTTGGAGAATATAAATTGCATTGCACTAGTGGTAATTTGGTTTCCATATCACCTCAACTGATACACTGTATTGACAAAAGAAATAACGAACAAGAATTTGTTGAATTTGAGAAACCATCATTAACCATCATTACAGCTGATTTCATTGCTATGTATACACCCGGATTTTCAGACATGATTCGACGGTCATGATTCGACCTGTCATGATTCGACACTAATCACGTGACGTATCGCTTCGCAGTACGTAAACGGTCGCGAAAATAATTGAGAGTTCTGCCGTGGGATCCGAAACAGTGAGAGAAAAATCTGGCTGGAAAGCTTAGCACTAAAGGACATAAGTGTAACGAAGCTAGAATCCCGACAAATGCGTTTTACCTGAAGAGGAAAGCTTTGTTGCTTGGAAAACAGCGACATGGTACAGAAATTATGATAACATTTGATCAGGTGATAAACCTGGAGTTCGATTGCCGAGTCCGAATGTATTTCTGTAGGCGATTTCATAATGGACGAAATATTATCAACACGGCGAAAAGCGAAATAGTCCGACGGTTAATCGTTAGTCTTCTTCCGTATGACAAGGTTTCGGTGTTTTGCCGTTGGTGAATACCACCCGCAATTTACATGTAACAGTGATGCAAATTTAGTTCACAGGGAGGCAAATTTGTATTTCTTCAAGTTGGTACTTTTTCGTCCTTACTTAGCTTCTGCATGGTTAAAAAATAACAGGAAACCTTGACGTTTTGCCGAAGAAATCAACAGATAAATTGATCAGTCTGCCGTTGTGAAAGAATTTGCTGAAGGGTTTGAAAGTTTTGTTTTGTTGACCGTTGAAAAATATCACAATGTTCGATCCTCGACCTATGACCCTAGTAAGCACATATAAAGAAAACCATACATAAAAGAAAGCAAAATTTGTTTTTTTTTGGAAAAGGGTAAAATATGATATTTCCTTAAAGATCAAGGTAAAATCCCAAAACAAGTTGAGAAAAGAGCCGAAAAACTTATTGATCGAGACGTCCACACGCCCGATAACATGTATTGCGATTAGCTTGCGTGACTGTATGAGAAGCTGTTATCCCGGAAAAGGAGAACAAATTATGGATCACAGTCCTCTTTTTCTGAATTACAAGAGAAATATTCAAGCTATCATCAAAAATTTAAAGTAACTTTCAGATTGTATGCTTTGATTCCTGTAGGATACTCAAGGTAAAATACTATACTGCTTGGTAACCTCTCGGTCGAATCATGACCGTCGAATCATGTCTAAAAATCAGGGTGTATACACCGCACTGAAATCAGCTGTAACCTGCCCAGTGTGTGTTATGTAACCAAGCGCGAAGCATCACAGCTGACAAATATGGTCGCCTCTCATCGCTTCCCGCCTTTTGGACAAAGAGCGATAAGAGGCAACTGTATTCGCAAGCTAGAAACATGAGAGTTGAACATGGTGAGGTTATTATGTTCTTCCGCGTCGCACTCGGCGCTTATTTCTCGCGCATCGCGCGCGGGTAAAGGAAATATGTCACGCCTGTAGCTATCTCTTTTAAAAAGCTAAAACTGTCTTCGTATGAATTGAATCCCAAAAATAATGGTGTAATGGTGAAGGAACTGAAACTGTTTCCTGTCTTCTGTTGCTGCGGGTGGTAAGGATGGACATGGAGTAAAAATTGATAAAATCACCAGAAAATTGCTGTGATTAGTGCTCACTGGTGCCCTGTATTTGATATCTTGTAAGTCTTTGCTGTTTCCAACGAAGCATTTTCCGTACGAGTAGAGGCACTAAGTAATGACTTAAGCACAGAATTGACCTATAAATTGCGCCTAAGATTACTACTTGAATCGACCTACAATCGGTGACAAAGTAAGTTAAGACACTTCGCCCTAAACTGGGTAGCCTGTGCCAGGCTCTCAGATAGTATAGTGGGACGTATTGAAACGAGCAAAGCAAAAATAAGACTCGCGCGACTTGCGAAAGGGGGCGGTGGCGGCAGGGAAAATGCCGCCCTGTCTCTCCACAGCCCCCGCGCGTTTTTCGTATTTCTTTTTACTGAACGACTTTTCACCACCATCTCGGAGCCTGGAACAGGCCATAAACTGGGGTTTTCTACGTTTTAGCTTTTCCTCCCCTCCCCATCTCCTCCATGCAGTGTTGTGCCGCTGTTCGAGCTACCTAAGGAAAACAACAAACACCCCAACTTTGAATGGAGGGGAGCGGTGCGGATTCTTTTGTTCTCGAAGTTACCCTATTTGAGTACAATGTCTCAACAATTTTGTTGCCGATTGTAGATTATCAATATAATATTTATCATCTTCTGATGTCAGGTCACGACCAGAGTTACCAAACCCGTGGATATGCCACCACCAGCTAAAAAGTCACGGGCCCTATCTGCCACGCCACGCCCCAAGCCTACAAGGGTATCTATACCCTGGGCCAATGGAGCCCTTTGTACCCCAGCCCATCCTGTTGATGAATCTCTAGCGGAGATAAACGAAGAGGATGGCGATGAAGAAGTTGAAATTGGCGAAGGTCAGGCCAGTGCCTATCAACAGGTATGTGAAACAGTGAAAGGGTTATTTACCTCTTTACATAAAGTCTTTCTTTTATTTATAGGTCATGCAGCTATTAAAATCAGGGTAACTCGTTGTAAAATCCTGAATGTAGCTTGTAAATTGAGTTTCAAAATTAGCTTGAAAACGTTTGCTCTCAAGGAGTCTTTCCCCCTGGCTTTAGTGTGAGAAAGCAGCCGACGTTTCGCGACGCTATCTCTGGTTTCTCCGAGAAGTGACCTCTGAGAAACAAGTGCAGAAATTCTTTATACTGATGACGCTTTACCACCCAGATCTGGGAATTGCTTCTGATTGGTTAAAAATTTGCCCTCGGCCATCAATCAGAAGCACTTGAAATATTTGAAGCCAATTAACAAAAATACACACAAATGTGGCTTAAGAAAATCAAAATTAACGGATGGGAACCTTTGCAGAACTAGTCCGTTTAACAAGAGACTTTTTTTCCTTTTTTACTCAATCAAACATAACAACGTTGGAGATGTCCACGCCTCGCCATTAACCATTGATTTTATTACTCCTTTATAACTGACAGCAACTTGTGAACTTGGTCAAGGTTCTACAAGAAAAGTTGATCGAGGAAAAACGAAAAATGCAGACTTTGGAAGTAAAGATAAGAGAAGAAGTCTGCAAGGAAATGGCTGAGCAGCTGGTCTCTATTGAAAACGCTTACAGGTAAGATGGCGTTCTCGGTACTCCCGAGTTTAATTCCTCGCCGGCCACGCTGGTAAATAGCCAGCTGGTTTCACTGTCTGCCTTCGGCCAGCTGGTATTCTTGGCGGCTTTTTTGGGCGCTTTTATGTTGAATTTGAACTGTTCGCTTTATTGCTTTTGTAAGTGTAAGGGAGAGGTAGTTCAGTGTGTTTTTTTAAAAAAGTTGCTTATCTTTCTTTACAGTGAACGTGTCAAAATGGAGGTGACCGCTGTTGAAGAAAAGTGTGATCGCAGAATCGAACTGTTGACACAGTCAATCAAAAAGACCAGGAAAAGAGCCCGGATCGAGCGGATAGAAGAAGACGACGAGGAATGGGTACCGAGTGTGTTTTTACATGCAGAGCAGACCAAGGTCCAGGTAAGTCTTGTATGAACTTACCTTTGTTTGCGCCTTCCCTTCAAACAGGCGGATCATCATACAGGTTATGTATAAACTAACAACTGAATCCGCGAGTGGGTAAAGTTAAGCGAATCCTGCGTTCTGTTTGGCTAACCGAGCAGGCAAGATGGGTGCATCTTGGCTACGTTGGCCCTCCAAGTAAAAGTTCTAGTTTTAACCATACAAACAATCCTTTATTGACCAAGCTTGTTCGGCAAAGATGGCTGAATATGGGTCTCGTTCATTTTTACCTTGTTATTGACTTTGACTTCGGCTCGGCGAATAAAACGCAAAAAAGAAATTGGCCAGTATTCAACCAGCTTGACCTCTCGCTTGGTCAATAACGCACATATAAGGATGAATGATACTCTTGTGCTAGCTTTTACCCGTAGATTCTGATTTGGGCGTCTTAAAACGTCTCCAGCTCCAGAGCTGTTAGATTTAAAGTGGTGGTGTAGTTTCTTGCAGGGTAAAAAGTAAAGTAAAGGTCCTTATGCTACGTCGGTAACACGTAACTGTACTCATTAGACTGACAAACCTGAAGCGCGGGCGGTGCACTCATTTTACCCCCCTGCCTTTGTCATTGCCCCATTTTACGGGTATTTAAAGCTGCACGGATAAGCGCGCTCGACGTTAGCTAAAGAGAAAATTGAGGGTCTACATGTGAACAGACTTACTGCGCTCTTGTTTTCCCATCTTTAATACAGTAGAACCCCGATACCTTGAACTCGGATAACTCGAATTCCTCGCTAACGCGAACTAAATTCCTTTCCCTTGATCAAAATTTCACTGAAATTTACCCCGATAACTCGAATTCCCGCTAACTCGAACTGTTTTTCGTTTCCCTTCAGAGTTCGAGTTACCCGTGTTCTACTGTATGTATAATTCTTATAGAGGTGTTTTGTAGTGAACTGAATACCATAAAACTGCCATTTTGTAGGAGAAGCAGCACGTAATCAGCGAGTTGAACGCCAAGATCGCCGAGCTTCGTCAAGAGGTGAAACAGTTGAAAGACAGCAGACAGGAAGAGACTTCAACATCCGACGCTGTTCTTGAACTACAAGGGCACTTAAACGACGCTAATGAAGAAGTAAATGAGCTGAAACAGATGCTAGAAGAAGCTGGAGAGGCATTCACTGAGAAGGAAGCTGAGATAAACAAACTTAGAGCAGCTCTGGATGATCAAGAGGCCTGTTTTAAAAACCAAGTGCGAGGCTAATTTTTACTATTTGTTGTCCATTTAAAGATAACTGAGATTGCCAAATAACGTTCAAGAATAAACGCCTTGACCAACTGAATTGACTTCATAAGACTCCACTCCGCGATTTTGTAACCTGCATAAAATTGGCCTTCTGCAACAAACTACTTTTCCGCTCTCGTCTTCAGGCCAAAAAGGAATAAGAATTTACTCTGTCAGTTTTGCTAAGTGGTATTAAGAACCAGCTGATCCACATCCTTATTAGGATTGTACTTTGTCTTAGTAATTATGATAAGCTGTTCAATTATGACGTTTCATTTGCCGACATTTCTTGAAAGGGGCTGTGTCACGGCAGTCCAGTTCATTTTGTTTAATTTTGCCAATTACTCGTCCTCAATCGCTATGGAAATTGAAGTAAGCAAAGAAATTACAGGTATATGACAAAATCAGAGATCCGAGACAAACAAATATGTCTCCTGAGCATTATTTTTGAAGTTGCAAGCAGTAGGTATCAACTTTGAAAAACTGTTATGCTTAATCAATCTGCCCATCCGTGGCATCTGTTGTTTCTGTTATGTTATTTTAACCGTCCTTTAAAGTTTTAAGCAGTTATTTTTATGTTTCTCTTAATTTAAGGTGGCTCGACTGGATTTTTTTAGGGGGATACCTCCCAAGTTTGAGCCTTAACTACGTCGGCATGAGTAAAGATATGGAAAAGAGGTTACCACAACTGTATTATATAAAGATGAAAATTTCTTATGATCTGGGTTTTATTCCAATCGGAGTCGCCATGGCAACGTAATGACGCAATTACGTTTTTCATTTATCTTTATGTTTCTCTGTACCAGGAGTTTTTTGAAGAAATTGCTTAAGGGAGTATGTACCTGCCATAATTGCCTCCATTATGGCAAAGTTTGAAGAAATTCTATGAGAGCGTTTTCGAAATATTTTGAAATGCAGTTTTAAGAATCATCAAAACAGTGAAATAGCATGCTATCCACACACTTAGCTAATATTTTAAGAAAACGATAAGCTTTGGGAACGCGGCTTCATCTCATAGTGGATTGATTCCATTGAAAACTGCATACAAAAAAGTAGGCGAATTGCTCTGGGCGATCGAGAGTAAGAAGGATTTTATCAACTTGCATTCAGATGCTTTTGATACAGTTTTTGGAGGTAATTTGGTCCATGCCTAAAAATTTCGCATTTTTCCAAAAACCGCTCGATAAATTTTTTTATAAATTCCAGAATTCCGAGATCAATTGTCAAGAAATATTCCCTGCAAGTTTTAAGAACATTGAAAATAGGGAAGGCTTTTAAATAGGACCTCAAATATGGCCAATTTTCCCCCCAGATTTTGTGTTTACAAGTGAGCGTCCTCATTATTCACTGGCATTGTTTTCAAGTTTCATATACACGTGCACATTTAGCAAAAAGATAGAATTTGCTTCAAAAAGGACCCTCGGTTAAATCTCCGGGATATGCTAATTACCGGGTAAAGAGGTTAGTGATACATTATAACATCAGAGCAACTCTTTGTGAGAGTTTCTGTGATGTTATAACCCGAGTAAGGTAACTAAGTATTGCATCCTACACGATGAGCCGTGACGTTCACCGTTTCGGTTCTCACTGCTATCTGTGATGACAAGCCTATTATTAGCGTACACCGGATATTTCTTCGGAAAGTAATCGAGAGTTCTTTTTGATGCAAATTTATATCTTTTGCTAGTTGTGCACGTGCATATGAAACTTGAAAACAATGCCAGTGAATAATGAGGACGCTCACCTGTAAACACAAAATCTGTGGGGAAAATTGGTTATGTTTGAGTCCCTATTTAAAAGCCTTCCCTGTTTTCAATGTTCTTGAAACTTGCAGGGAATATTTCTTGCCGATTGATCTCGGGATTGTCGAATTTATAAAAAAATTTATCGAGCGGTTTTTGGAAAAATGCGAAATTTTTAGGCATGGACCAAATTACCTCCAAAAACTGTATCAGAAGTAGCTGAATGCAAGTTAATAAAATTCTTCTTACTCGCGATCGCCCAGAGCAATTCCCCTCTTTTTTTGTATGCAGTTTTCAATGGAATCAAACCACTATGAGATGAAGCCGCGTTCCTAAAGCTTATCATTTTCTTCAAATATTAGCGAATTGAGCGGCTAGCATGCTATTTCACTGCTTTGATGATCCTTAAAACTGCATTTCGAAATATCTCGAAAACGCTCTCATAGAATTTCTTCAAACTTTGTCATAATGGAGGCAATTATGGCAGGTACATAGTCCCTTAAGCGATTTCTTCAAAAAACTCCTGGTACAGAGAAACGCAACAATAAATGAAAAACGTAATGGCGTCATTACGTTGCCATGGCGACTCCGATTGCAATAAAACCCAGATCATAAGAAATTTTCATCTTTATATAATACAGTTGTGGTAACTTTTTTTCCATACCTTTACTCATGCCGACGTAGTTAATGCTCAAACTTGGGAGGTATCAACCCCAAAAAATCCAGTCGAGCCACCTTAACAGGCATTTTGTAATTTCCTAATTTAGCTGAATTTCGTGATAAAGCCCCTTTAACCCTTTTACAGGATGAAGCCTTGAAGCATCTTACAGAAGAGCTAGAAAATGCGAAAGCTATTTCCAAACAGGTAGACAACACCGAAGAACTGCATCAGTTAAAAGGAGCCCTAGAAGTTGCAACGATAAAACTCGCTGAGACAGAAAAAAATGTACAAGCAAAAGACCTTATGCTAAAGGAAGTCGTGAGGACGCTAGAAGAAACGAGGGAGGAGTTGGCCCGGGAACGAAGCTATGTTGCCCAAGCATTTGACAACGACGAAGAATTGATTAGAATCAAAGATGAATTGCAGAAGGCAGAAGCCAAAGCTGTAGAGTTGGAGAAAAAGGTAGCATCTAAAGACGAGGATATAAATTCTTTGAAGCGAGAGATAGAAGATGCGAGCGCGCGACATGTGGAGAAGACAACACAGGATGAAGAAAATGAAAAGGAACTGAAAGAGAAGATAGTGGAGATTGAGAAAGCAAATAATGAAGTAGCTGCCTTACAAAAACAGTTGGAGGATTTCAAGGAAGACATGCGGAGCACAAGAGAAGAGTTGGAGAAATTTAAGGCTGAAAGTACCAGCAAAGATTCCGAGCTTGAGTTGGCGAAGAATGAAATAAAGGAAAAGACGTCAAAGTTGGAGGGTGCAACGAAGGAAATTTCCAAAAACTTAGCTGCGCTGGAAGGCATGAAAAAGCAGATGATCGAAATAGAGGTTGAGTTGGAAAGTGTTAAAGAAGATAATTTAAAGAAATCAGTCGAACTGGAGCGTGTACTTGAAGAAAAGCTTGAAATCTTGGCGAAACATAAGTCTGACGATCACCACAATCGAATTACCGCAGGGCCAGTAGCAGGAGGTGATTCAGAAATGGTTAAACAAGCGGCTAGAGTTAAGGAATTACAAGAAGACCTCCGTGAGAAATCTCTTGAATTGGAAAATGCCAAGAGAGAATATACCCGAAAGATTGATGAGTTGAAAACAGAACTATCTGGTTGTAAAACAGAAATGAATAAACTACAGAGTGAAGATGCCGTAAAGGAACTCGAGCAACAATTAGAAGAATCTACAAAAGCTCTCGATAAGAAAAACAGCCAGGTTATTGCCAGAAACAATACTATCAAAAGGCTCGAGATATCTTTGGCAGAGAAGGACAAGCTTTTGTCGGAAATGGAGAAGCTGCCGAAAGAACCAAATCTTCGCGCGAAAGAAGAATTGAAAACTCTGCGAAGACGCCTTGTGCAGGCGGGTAAAGAAGTGGAAGAAACCAAAGAGCTCTTGGCTGGTAAAGAGAGAAAAATGGAAGAAACGACGCAGGAACTTGAGAAGGTTAGAAGTGAAAACGATGAAAAGGCGGCTGCGTTTCTGAAGGAACTTGAATCGGCTAGGACAGAGCTTAGCGAAGTTAAAGAAGGCGCCGAGAAAAAGCAAGAAGAAATCAAGGCATTAAAACGACAGCTCGACGTGCAGCGTTCGAATAACGCTTGTTTGCAAACACAGCTTGAAAACGAAAAGAGGACCTTGCAAGAGAAAGAGAACACTGTCCAAGCCACCAAGGAAGAATTGAACTCAGTGAGGAGCAAATCTTCAACTGAAATAGATGATGCAAAGAAGAGGCTGGAATCAACTGAAGAAAAAGTACAGAAGTTGGAAGATGAAGTTTTCACAGCTAATGAAGAAAGTTCTCGTGTTCAAGCCGAAATTCAAAGGTATGAGGAGGAGATAGTGCCTGGTCTTGAAAACAAAATCAAAGCTTTGGAGGAAGAGAATTTACGCAGCAGCTTGAAGGTCAAGGTAAGAACTCTCTTTTTAAGAGTGCAGTTGAAATTGTTGAGACTTCGCCAATATACTGTTTGCTCGCTTGACTCTTTGTTTGTGTTTTAACAAGGACACCGAAGAAATCATGGAGAAGAATTTGAGAGAAGCCCGCTGTCAGTTAGAGAAAAGAAACAGTGAAATAGAACAAATAGCGAAAGAGCTACACGATTTGAGAAATTCCGTAAGGACTGCGGAAAAGGAGAAGTTCGAGGAACTTGACAAGGTTTGTTTTAAACTTGTTGTAGAAGTTTTCGAACGTGAGTTTTTTATGTTTAAGGAAGTATTTTTTACAAAGGATGAAATATTGACCAGAGATCGTTATCTAATCTAGTGAACTTGCTCCGGGGACACTCCGGGCCCATAGGTACGCGTAAAGGAATACTGGTAGTGTCGCTTAGGGGTGGGGTGGAGCTTAGAATGTTCAAGATGAAAATCCGATATTTTTACCCGTACAGGTACCTGTTAGGTTTTTAAAGGAAATCAGACACCGTCATTATCCCCTGAAGAAAGAATTCCTTGTCAATATCATAAAGTGCACTTAATCCCATAATACTTTAAATGTTAAATAGTATTCAGCATTTATTGAGGAATATGGGAGCCAGCCGGGGGGGGGGGGGCGGGCAGTGGTGAGAGTTTGTTGTTGGCTCTCTCCCCTGCTCTGAGAATTTTTTTCTCAGCGTACTAAGGTTCTCCCCTTTCCTTAAAAACCAACACTTCCATATTCCAATTGGATCTGAACGCATGGACACGTTTCAACGAGTTCCTAAAAACTCCTAAGTGCGCTGAGAGTAAACAAATTACAAATAACGATTATCAAAAAATGACAAGAGCTTTAAGACTTAAAGGAATAGTGTGTCAACTGTATGGTTTTTATGACTCGTTTTGTGGTTTTTAGAATCTACAGGAAATGATGTGTATGCAAAAAACCATCGAGGAAAGAAATAGAACCCTTGACACGCTCGAAAAAACGCTGCGTGACACCAACTTGGAACTTGAGAAATCGAAGGAGCGTACTAAATCGCAAAATGAGCAACTGCAGAAGCTAAACCAAGAGAAAAGGTCTTTGGAAGAAAGGCTTGACGCCTTAACAAAGAAGTTGGAACTCTTGACGTCTGGTATGTAAAAAAAATCCATACCGGTAGACTAGTGTTATTGATGCTCTAATTTAAAACTGTCTTCCGCATGAACGCAACGTGCAAAACAGCGAATTGTGGGTAAAGTGCATCGGAACTAAGCGAAAGGCGTGCATGGATAATCGTTATCTGTGTCCACTTTACGGACACATGTTGTCGATATGTGTTCGAACACGAGCACCATTCGCTGAGCGTTGAGCGTGAAAATGTGTCTCTCTTATGTCCAATTTAACTGTAGGATTATTTTTGACTCAGTTTCCTACGAAACCTCGTAATGCCTTGCAAAAGAGCGACAGCCACCCCAAAACAGTCCCATAATGCATTTTGATGCATCTCTGACCCAGTCTCACGCACAGCCATGAGCTCTTCTTTCAAAACGGGGCTAAGTGCAAAGCCTTTGTTGTAGAAATAAGTTTTATTTGTATAAGATTAAAAAAATCATTTTCATGTCAATGGCTTTGCACTTAGCCTCGCTTTGAAACAGAGGCTTGGAATTGGTCTATTAGTTTTAGGCGAGAATCGTGCTCAGCTCGGCCACCAATGTTAGCCTGCGAGCAAGCTCGCTCTGGCGGCGGGGCGGGAAGGAGAGCTTGCAACTACGTCTCTGGAATTTGAATTCCACCTCTAATTCCCCTGTGGCTCCCCGTCGACTAAGCTTTCAGATTTTCGCCAATCAGCGCGAAGCGAAAACGAGCGCGAATGTAAACAAACATTGAAAAACACGTGCAAGGAAAATGACGTCATTACTAATGTCATCTTCGCCAATCAGCATTTCGTATCTACTTTTTCGATGCAGATATTCAAATTCCAGAGACGTAGTTGCAAGCTCTCCTTCCTTTTCGCGCCCCGCCGCCAGAGCGCCCCGGAGACCTTGCTCGCAGGCCACCACCGATGTGAAAATATCCTAGTCTCTAGGCTGTGAGGTTTAACCTTTTCTTTTTTTTTTTTTCATCTTTCTTATCTTGATGAGTTTACTGTATTGAAATAAAAATTCATGCTGTCGCTTTCTCAATCTCCGAGGATCCGACTATCTCGGAGCCTGGAAGAGACTACGTTTTTGAGCGACAAGCGGAAGTGGAATTTTTGCACTCTTGAGCCTTGTTTTTGAACAAATTTCTGAGCAAATCGTTTTTTTGAGAGTAAAGACACTTAGCAATACAAATGTGGTAGCGTCAAGGCTTATTAAAAGGGAAAAACGGTCACTTCCGGATGATGTGCGTCGCTGAAAAAACGTCGGTGGTTATATAAGCTTCCTATTATTTTCTTTGTTTTATGTATGCCCAGATTCCGGAAAAGAGAAGGAAACTCTGAGTAACCTGAAGACGGTTCTGCAGGAACAAGACCTTATTATGAGCGGGCAAGCTCAAGCCATTGACGAGCGACAGAGTGAGATTGAAACTCTCTCCACGGAGTTACAAATATTGCAGGAAAAATGCTCTTTTACTGAGAAAGAACTCGAGAGGAAGAAATCTGAGATCGCTAATCTGAAACAGCAGTCATTGAGTGCTGGCACGGAGAGGAAGTTATTTGAAAAGATGGAGGAAGAAATGAAAAAGTTAAAGGAAGATCATTCGTCTCTTGTGGCTCAGTTAAAAGCGAAAGACGAAGAGATAAAAAATGTCAATGATTCGCGCGATAACATCATGAAGACGATGAGAGAAGCTTTAGAAGTGGCGAAGGCGAACAAAGCGGAGTATGAAGTGAAACTCGCAACTGTCCGCGAGCAGTGTCGTAGTGAGATGAAGAGAGAAATGGAGGAGGAAAAGCGGAGACTGAAACGGGATTTCCAGAGACAACTTGAGGAAAAGGACAGGAGTTTGGAAGAGATAAAATGCGAGAAGGAGAGTGTAGAGAAAGCGATTGCTGCCGAGAAGGCGGCGAAAACCAAGTCTGGATCTTCTTCATCTGTAAGTTATGCTAAACCGACATTAAGCAACAACACGCAACAGGGTGTGCAAACGGACGCAATAATTCGTAACATTTTGGCCCAATAGTGTTGGGAGTTGTTGCGTTCGTTTGCTCGTAGTTAAACGTTTGACAGGTTTTAAACTCTGCACAACAACTCCCAACAACACGCTAAAACATACAACAGGGTGTGCAAATGGCGCAACATGTAACATCCAACAATGTTGCCTCCGTCCAACTCCTAACATTTTGGCCCAATAATGTTGGGAGTTGTTGCGTGCGCTTGCTCGTAGTTAAATGTTTGACAGGTTTCAAACTTTGAACAACAACATGCAGCAGGGTGTGCAAACAGACGCAACATGTAAGTCAACATCCAATAATGTTGGGAGTTTTTGACCAACAATGTTGCGTCCGTTTTCACGGGGCTTTAGGAAGCTTTAGCATCCACGACGGTGACGAAAAGTCACTTTTAAAATGAATAGGCGTTTTTTCCAAACTTTGTCATGTCAATTTCGATAGCTGAAAATGTCATTTGTGGGCGAATTTCCCTGGAGTTGATTTCTTGGGGACTGAAATTTCAGCCGAAACCTAAAATGGGTTAGGATTGCCGGTAGAGTCGAATTTGATGTTTGTGAGTTGTTTGCTTACGAGTTGAAAAATAGTGGAAACATCATTTTGGCTAATAGAGAATCTGGTACACATCTAATCATCAGAAAACTACTTGCGAAACCAACTTAATGGTTCTCCATGGTAGATTAGTCAACTTTTAAGACAGTGGATTACTCAGGGTTTCCGTGTGATAACCTTATTCTTTTGGAGCGAAAGATTGGGAGAAAGGGCGCACAGTCATATTCTGAAGAATGCGGGGAGATATGAACCCCTACCCTATTTCAGGCCTTAAACACTGTTCCTGAAAGTCGAATTACACACAAATTAAAAACACACCACATACTCACACTCACTTTAAGAATTTGCACGGTGTACATTCCTGTATTCCTATTTTGTGTATAAGTTTAACAGAAATAATCGTCTCGTCGCTTTTCAGGATCTTGACACTCAAAGCGAGAACACAGACGTGCCTGCTTCTGACACCGAAGTAAAATCGTCAGTTCTGCGATCAAACCAGAAGAAAAATCTAAAGCGGAACAGCAGTGATTTAACTTTGGCTGAGGTATTTGTTTAGCTGGTAATGTTACTGCCATCATAATGACAGTTTTTCCATACGTATTTCTTCAGTATGGTTATTTGTAAACTAACCACAAAATCAATTAGTTATCAACTAAATGAATTGATAAAGAAAAATTGTTTAATCTCAGTTTCTTTTAAAATTTTGTTTGCCAATTTTCTCTTGGGTTGTTTCGAATAAAGTGGGGCAGGGCTTAGCTATGAAATTGGCCGTAATTATGTTTTGAACTCAAACGGACACACAATTTATAGTCAGTTTTTCTTGTAAGTGATTTGCAGCCAGGATTCATGACATAAGTGGGTTGAATATGATTACCTGTGAGAATTCCCTAAACAAATACCTAAGAAAAAAGGTAAGGTAAAAACAGAAAAGATGAGAACCAACATTATTTCTATCGGCTTCCACATTAGCTTAAGAACCAAATGTCCGCATCAAAGTCAAGGAAAAAAGAAGACAGTGACGAGGAGTTCACCCCAGGATCGGTGAGAAAAACGTAAGTGTGAGCAAATGTTTCCGATAACTTGCATGTTTGTTACTGTAGAACTCCTTTAACTCTTAACTCCCCCCCAACTAGAACTAATATTACTTTCCCTTTGGATCAGTTGTAATACCACTACTCAAACCCACATTATTTAAGTCGAAACATGTTTTTTGTTAGTTATTTGCCTGAGGAATTCGAGTAATCGTGGTTCTCCTCTGACTAATTTCATCTATAAGCACATCCAAATAAAGACACTTTTTGAAAAGAAGATTAAAATAGATACGTTTTAACCTGAGGTGATGGGTAAGTAATGCAAAATTTCAAAATTTTGCTGTCAATCCCGGACATACCTAGATCCTTTAATACTGAACGTTAAAAGGTTGAAAAGGTATTATTTTGAGTGGTCTTGTTTAACTTCACATTTAAATGGATGGGTCAACCCATTTGTGGATTACTAATGTAGAGTTAGATTAAGTAGTCACTGCAAATGTTTTTTTGTTTGTTGTTGGTACAGACGAACGAGATCATCAACAAAGAAAGCTGGAAGGTCCACTTCTACTCGCTATAAACGAACCACTCCAGCGACAGTAGAGGTTTTGCCGACAATGGTAAGACATACGAGGGTAAAGAAAATCGAACTCATGCAAATTTAAAAACGATAAAATATCAATTAAACAAGGTCGGTTTCTTTCTTTAATCCCGTGGGTGTTGTCATCCTTTGATAACGAGATTGACCAAAAGAACGTGACTAATAACTGGACGGATGGCACGACAGGTCACGTGGCCATTGTCATAATCAGTTAAGTTGGTCAATGACGTGTCCTTTATGTCATTTATGACGTTAGCATGACGTCATTACATTTAAGACCGAATATTATCACACTTAGGAGTTTATTACACTTGAGGCAATGAAAGGCTAAATAAAACTCATCCGATTTTCTATCATCAATTTCTGTCAGAAATTGATTATTTCGTGTGGAAACGAGCGGACGCCACGTCTGGCCTTAGGTGAAATCCTTATTTTTTCTCTTTCATTTTTTTAATTATTGTTATCATTATTTTCCAAGGACGAAAAGGACTGCAAAACTGACAGTGTAAGGGAAAAAAAGAAGTTGTTCAAGGATTTGCAGGAAGGCGCGACCAGTGCAGGTTTGTATTTACAAAACATTTTATAGTACTCCATTTTCTCGCCTTTCCTCTGGAAACCCGTCTGGTACACGTATCTCTGTACAGATCGTTGATTTTCTGTTGGGTTTGACAACACCCCAAAACCTTTTCAAGTGTCATTAAGTGAGTAATTCAACGCCATAATGAGAGCTGTGACCTTTACTATAGAAAGAAATCACAGTGGCTGGTTGAGGGCGTGGCTTGCCTCCAGATCCACTCTCCTCTTTATTCGCCCCTTTGTTTTTCTTACCTACGGCGTTTTTCGTACTTCATCAGATTTCGTTCGGATAAGTCAGTTTTTCTCTCCTTTATAAAAGCCAAGATTGTTTTTGTGTGTAGGGCCATTGACTTATGAATTTTTCAGCTATGTTTCGTAACGTGCAGAGAACTACAACCCCGGACAAAACTCTTTAGACATGACTACGTATTTTCTAATTTCGCGCCATGCTACAATCTCGTCTAAACGGAACAAAGTCGCCGTCATTTTCACCCCCCTGTTCAATGTTGTTTTGGACTAACAGCTAACGTTTGCGTGTCTGGTGTTATTGCAAACAACATTGGAAGAGGGAAGTGGGGCGGTCGGTCATTAGGGAGCTTAATCAACGCGGACGGCAAAACAGCGGGTTAGATTGGCAAAACAACAACTTTGCCCGTGCATCACGCTTTTTTGTACCTTTCTTTGCCGTTACTGTACAACTACGACGTGAAACGTCCTTATTTCACGTTTTAAGGCGATGTTACACGGGACGATTCGAAACGACGATTTTTAGCGCAACACAGTGTTGCATTGTTGGAACAATGTTGCAAGCATTTAAAACAATGTCGCAACAATGTTGTAACGCTCTGTTGTGCTAAAAATCGTCGTTGCGAATAGTCTCGTGTAACATCACCTTCATAGAGGACGGAAACACATGACAACGATTTCCTCTTTCTTTTGTGGAATTAGATATAGTCCTTTAGAATTCAACTCCTCAGAAATCCATGACAAACTAGAAGAGTTGAAAAAAGAGCGATGAAATTTGAAACAGCGTGAATCCTGTTTTTGGGTGAAGTTTTCGCTGCCGCTCTTGCTTAAGGTCCCTATTCAATTGTCGACGGTAAGCGTATTCGTCAGGACGAGTGCAAAAAAAATTTTTTTTTGTAATCTGTTTTAGCAGGTTTTTTTCCGAGGTTGTAGTATTGATCGCTGCTTTTTTCGTAACAGGTGAAGAAGAAAACGTTCCTCCGAGTCAACCGAGCCAACAGTCGACCAAAAAGCGCGGGAAACTGTTCCACAAACCCTCGTCTCTAACAGCCTTGCTGTCATCAGGCAAAAGCGTGAGTCATTTATTATGAGTTTGTTGTCCTTTTGTTTTCCTTGTTTTGAAATACCATCTAAGAACTACTGGCGCAGATGAAGGAAGACTTCACAATCGTTTTAAAATTATAACAGAGTTTGCTAAGATTCTTCTTGTGCTTTAATGGTCGGTTGTTAAAACAAAGAGTGCGGTTTTTAAACAAAATCAGCGGTCCTAAGATTTCTTTTCCAAGTGGGTTATTTTGAGTAAATAAATGAGTTAGTTTATAGCCTGGGCTGTAAGTCTTCCGGACACTGATGACAGCAAACACTTCGTATATTAGGGTTTGCAAAATTGGAAACGACTTATCACGCATAGTAACTGACCTTGAACTTTCACTTTATTGCGTTTCCGCGGGAAGAAATCGCTTTTCAAGTCATGTCAATATACCTGCCAACCTTTTCCGAGATGTAGGCGTGAGATTTTTATCCTGGGAGTGCTGGGATTTTTGAAAACGACACGATCATTTCCGAAGATTCCCGAAGACGTCCGAAGTCTGCCGAAGGCGAAGTTATCGAGAAAACGCTTATCCACAAAATCAGAGATCGCGAGGAAGGTATTGTCATTTATTCATTTTACACATGGTTTTCGTTCCTTACATGGGTCTGAGTTAACATATTTTTGGAAATTGTGTCCAGCAAGACGGCAACAACTCACATTTTTCAATCAGGCGTGAGAAATTGGTCCGCAGGCGTGAGCGGGCGTGAGATCGAAGTTTTCAACCCGCAGGCGTGAGACTCACGCCTAAGGCGTGAGAGTTGGCAGGTATATGTCAAGTCTATCCTGACGATAACCAAGATTCATGAATTTTCTAGCTTTGTGGCAGGCTAAGCTGGCCATCTTATTTTGCCTTTTTATTACTTCGTCAGGAAAGCCGAGATGACAGGAGCGAGCAACCGGACAAAACAAAGAATATTATTACGCGGCAGTTACGTCCGCGATCGATTAAATACAACTAGACTAGTTAGTCTTAAACTCATGTATATACCGAGAGCGTAGGAAGGCTCCGAATCTAATGAAAAAACACCTCTCAGTAACGTTTAATAAATCAATCATAATTTAGAATTCCATGCACATCCTAAGATGTTTACAGAGACCATGCAGTAATTTTCTGCAGCGTTGTTTCCAACGGTCGCAACGTATGATTTTATCCACAGACTTAAAAACGGTTGCGTTTATTAATTTGGCTTGCGTTCATTAATTTTTGCGTGAAAAAGGAGCTCAGGTATTGAAACTAAAATCAAGGCCCATCTTCTGGACTCAAATGAACATTCCTTTTTTAGTTGGCGGAGTGGAGGCTCGGTACGACTAACACTACACCGGATAGCAATTGCGTCAAAAGGGCTTTGGTTCACACATGATAACGGCAATTACTGCTCGGTCTCTGTAACGAAGCGAAGCTGCACCACACTGATTTCGAAAGTGAATCCTCACATTTTAGGCAGGTTTCTTTACCACTCTTTGACGCAGTGTGAAGGGGTAAAAACTATCTGGATAGTGTAGACAAAGCCTTGCGTTGTGTAGACGACATTTCTGTGCGACATTCCCTTGAGAGACTCTTCGCAGCTCGTTGCTGTCAGCTCTATTACCTACGTTACATTCGTGAACGAACGTAACGTAAAAGTATCGTAAAAGAACCGAGGCCCCGTCCACACACGTCCGAATATTTTGAAAACTCATTTTTTTTTTACGAATCAGCCGCCCAGTTGCATGAAAACAGTGAATCCCGTCGCCAAAACCCCATCTTTTTTAAACCGTTTTCCAGACGGCGTGAAGACGAATGAAACGGGATATTTTCGAATAAGTAAAGTATGCGGGTTCATTTCACTCGGATTCGTGTGAACGAGGCTGGGGTTTTAAGTCAGTACCCGAACTCTGATTCAAGGAACACGTTACGTTAAAGCACCTTATGGGGTAACGGTGTAATCAAAGACTTGTCCCGGTTGCGTGTCTTATTAATCTTCTTAGTACCCAGTGTAAATATATTTGATAGTAGTAGTTCACATCACTAAATTGTGAGGAAAGAAATTAAAAGGCTCATTAGAAATGACGCCCTAAACAATGTTCAATTTCATTCACCCAACTTCAGTAGTCTTGTTAAACGAAAACGTTGATTTTTTTCCCAGTGATTGAATGAGGCTCAAATTGAAGGTGCAATAAGCTTATTCTCATAGCCACGGGTAAACTGCAAGTTGCGGATTATACAATGTTATTTCTAGAACAGTAGCAGAAAATGCGTGAGGCTTGTTTGATTTTGTTCAGTCCGCCTTTCGTCCGGTGTTTGACCCTATTACTGGGCTCTTTTATAAAGGTTTCCACCTCCTATTACATAAGTTTCACTTCCCCGGCTTTTTGCTTTAGTCATTTTTCCTGTGTATGTTTACCGTAAAATTCCGAAGGAAGGAAGGGTTTATTTTCGGAATCTTACGGAATGTGTATGCGACGTTTTCCCTCAACGTTCACTCAGTATGGACACTATGCCGTCTCCCCTTAGTGTATCAGTATGGCGTGTCCTCTTGGTGTGCGTATTAACCGGGTTGCAATGTATAAGAAATGCCGCAGAGAACAATAATTAAACATCACTAACCCGAAAAACTTTGAGGTGCAAAGTCAAACACAAAACTGTCGTGTCAAGATACACTGAAACCTCTATTAAGCGGACACCTTCGGGACTAGACTGCGAGCAGTCTCTCTTTTTCTTAGATTTAGTGAGAGCAATGCACGCGCGCGGGAGCGGCGAAGCCACGAGACGCGCGAAACGAGGGCGGCAGTCAACAAACATTGCGCAATTTTTACAAACCTCTATTAGGCGGACACTTAAGAAGGTCCCGAAGTAGACTACGAGCAGTCTAGTTCAAGTTCAAGTTCAAGTTTATTAAGAAAAATTGAGAAAATACAAAATATGATGTACCACTGCTCGCAGTTAGCTATAGCTTTCAAAGCCGGCGCTTTTCGCCAATAGTGGGCTATAACATATAGCCTCTTCTTCATGCCTCTCCCGTCTCGCGCCATCAGTCACGCGCGTGGCCATTTGCGTGTCTCGCGTTTGCTCGACGGACTACAGAAAAAAGAGAGACTGCTCGTAGTCTACTGCGCAATGTTTGTTAACGATTAACTTTCAACGGTTACTCTGTAAAGTGATAAAGGTGGTTGTTGTTACGGAAGCTGTGCCGTACTTAGTGCAAGACTTTCGGTCTAATCTCCAGTTTATTGAAAGCTAAATGTATTGATTTATCTTTATTAATCGACTACAGTACGTATTTCAAGGACGTAATCCAATACTACCATTGTCAATTGTCAGTCCGGTGTCCGCTTAGAAATTCAGCTAAATGCAATATATTTTAGTGTCCGCGTCCGCTTAATGGAGATGTCCGCTGAATAGGGGTTCGTTATAAAAGGAAATATAAGACTTCAATTTCGGGACCCGGCTCAGTGTCCGCTTGATTGGGGGTCCGCGTAATAGAGGTTTCACTGTATTTTGTTCTTGAGAGCTGACGAAAACAGAGTCAAAAGCATTCATTAATGACGATCAATAGCCTAGTGATTATTCTGTGACCAGGCGCTTATACCACAAGAGAAATGCGGTCAATCCTATCTACAGAGGCCACCTTGGAGAGAGAAGAAACTGGCCATTGGAGGTTCGACTGTAAGGAGATTAGGGAGATGGCAAGGCTCAGCATCCAGCCGAGTCGTGGGAGTCTCGATGGGGGCTCGATGGAGACTGAGCCTAGCTAACGGCATGGTCTCGGGCACTGTTGCCTGTAATACTGCCAGTCCGCCATACGAGAAAACAAGAAGACCCTGTGGACGAAGTTGTGAGTTCATAGCCTCACCTCGATTGGTTGCCTGCTGTAAATTTTCGTTGTACGCACACGATAAGTTCAGTAAAAGCCCTCAAGTAAGAACCTGGATTTTGCTGGTTAAGCCTCCTCTAGATCTGTTATAAGAACCTGTTTAGCCTAAAATTTGAAACAGGGCCTTGTTTTCTAAAATCTCTCAAAAAAAATCTGAACACTTGGGTAAAATTAATATGAAAAGTCAACAAAGACATAGCTCTGCCTTATCACTTCAACCGCAAAGTAATGGTATGCAGCTAAACCACAAAATACTCTCAGCCATATTGTATTTTTTCTTCAGAAAATAAGAACCTAAATAGGCTAAACTTGTGCTTCCTACCGTTTATTCAGTATAAGAATTTGTTTAGGCTTGACTTGGAAAAATCCGGGTTCTTAGTCGAATCAATCGAATCAGATGTCAAATTACCCATTTTTTCCCTGTACATTTTATTCAAATCACGTTGTTACAGTTTACAAAAAGTACTGACATAATTACGTAATAAGGAATTTAAAAAAAGAGGGAAGAGACCAAGTGTATCTTACAACATCGGCTGTACATGCATGTAATGCATGTTTAACTAAATAGAGTTTATCAATCACAGAATTTTTCTAGCTGGTATTTAATAGAGTTTATCAATCACAGAATTTTTCTAGCTGGTATTTAATTTCTATTTGGTTGAAAAAGTCTCAGAGAGTAAGTGCTTTGTTATGAAGTTTGCAATCTCATAAATAACAGGGTGTAGTTAAATTTTAATTTGCTGTAAGGCAGCTATTGTTGGGTGAATTTTCGAAAAGTCCGAATAAAGATTCTTTCAATGAAGGGACTAAGTTGCAGTTAGAACCACCTAAATACACTTTCCTGGACGACACGACTGTTATTAATAAAGGTGTGGTCCGTGGAATCCTCTTCCTTTCTTAGGATAAGATTATAATGGAAAAAAAAGATCCTTGTGCCGTGTCTGGATATAATAATGATCGTCTTTTTCTAGTTTAGTATTAGAAATATGGTCTTTCTCTGTATATTTCTCGGGAAAAAGGCGATCATTATTACATCAAAACACGGCACAAGTATCTTTTTTTCCCATTACAATCTTATTCTAAGAAAACTTTAAGAAAAAATGTCCCGAAAAGCACTCGAAAATACAAACGAAATATGCTCATGCCCCCTGGGCATCCTATAATACTCCTTAAATCGAACTAATTCAATATGGCCGCCGTATCGGTAAAAAGGTCTATTCCAAAACGAAACAATTCTCTTTTGGTGAAAACTAGAAATTCTCTTAGCTTTTGGTAAAAACTTGAAATTCTCTTAGCTTGTTTTCTTTGCAGATCTTTGTCGCTGATTTGAAGAATGTTTTCTATTCATTTAATTCTGTTTTAAGGTTATTTTTTCCATTTCTCTGGCCCAGTACTAGTTGGTAGTGATGTGGGATCCGTTCGTTTAAAATCCGATACAACTCCTTATATTTTAGTTTTAACTTTGTCTTAATTTAACTCGAGACCATTTAACAGCTGGAATAGTGGAGATTTCTCCAGATAAGCGTTTTTGAAAATGTCATCCAGATTTCTTGCTTTGAACACGAGAAGATACTGAGGAATAGCGTTCAAAACTTGGTAAAAATTCAGGAAGTTGGTTTTGCAACTATATTTTCTTTGAAACTCTTCATAAGTAAGAAATTGTCCAATCTCTTGTTGGAGGTCCTTTATTGAAAGAATTCCTTTTGCAAATCATTCCCCAATAAAGAAAGGTTTTCCATCAATTAAAATTTATTTTTTCTTAAACAAAAAAATCTCTATTTTCCGGTTCATCTTCTTGTTTAAGCTGAGATTTTTAAGTCTCATTAAAATGTGGACGAAGAAAGGCAGTTAGGAAGGTATAGATAGTTTTGGGTGTAGGTACGTTGGGTCATAGTTGCATCTTAACGAAAAGTTGAGGCCTCCAAGTTTTCGAAAAAAAAATGGTCAGGTACTGATGTCCGGTCTTGCTTTGCTGGATTAAGAAGTTTAGGCAGCCACGCCAAACGTAAGGCTTTTAACATAAGATCAAGGCTAGGCATACGAATTCCCGCGGGAGGTACTCCCTATGATGGCCTATACTGGGAGGCTCCGCCCGAAAGGGGTACCTTTTTGAGGCTTCAGGTATATGAAAGGGTAGGGATTTTTCTAGTAGTAGTTGAACTAAAAGGGTAAGGAACATTTGTCATTTGGGTCTCTAAAAGGGCTCAAAAGGGCTAACAGATGAATTTTATGGTTTTGCAAAAAGTCGAGAAAACGTTCTGTTTTTGTGATTGATTCCTATTTAAAAAACAGTGCATTTACAGCAATTAAAAGGGATGCAAAGTTCTAAACAAGGTACAATTTATGTGAAAGCAGCCGGGGGGGGGTACTATAGGAATTTCTGGGTGGGGATGTGCCGCTGGGACCTTGGAACCCTAACCTATACCAGAGTTAGTTCAGCTGAATTTTGCTACCCTATACTAGAGTAAACTCCCCAAATCCCCCCTATCCTAGAGTAGCTGTTTTCCTAGTCTAGATAAAATCTTCAACCAAATGATCAGTTTCCTGAAAAATGATACCCTATTCTAGACCCAAACTCTCTGATTTATATACCCTATCCTAGAGTAAACTGCCTGAAAACCATACCCTTCACAGCGGCACATACCTACATAGCCCATATATGGCAGTACCCCTCTCGGGAAAGGGGTTACCTTTGTCGTTAAAAAAGCCTGGTTAACCTGTGCAAATAGACTTTTTATTTCATCATACATAACGGCGTCCCCCAAACTCGCGCCGTTTTTTTCGAAGCGAGGTTTCATGGGAGATGACTTCCGTGTTTCTGCTCCGGCTGTCAGAATTTATATTGTTCTGCTTGGTGTTAATCTCTTCTAATCTTGAACAACTGTTGGTAACTGTCCTTTCCTTAAGGACAGATTTCTCAAATCAGGTAACTGTACGCGTAGTATGTAAGCTAGTTTTCTTTTCGCGTAATCGTGGTGCAATAATTCAGTGAATAATGAAGCTCAAACTTCAAAACAGAGGTTTGCTCTACTTTGTTTATTCTCTTTTCTAATCCAAGGTCTCTGCTGTAAAAAAATGCTTGGTGACAACTTAAAGATTTTCGTCCACGGTTTACCTCTGGACTGCGAAGAACATTCCTTAAAAGATTTTCTTGAAGGTGAATATGTAATATTGCAATTGAAAGGAGAGACATTAATTTTTTTTTACAGATTATTAATTCTTCCTTATCCGAAAAAACTGCCATGAATGAGCCAGGCCAGGCTTTCTAACCACACCAGATACTGTAACTCACTCTCATTTATTTAACCAAATAAAATATATTACCTTTCATGTTTAATACCTCACGATCACGCTATTAAAATATTAGCATTAAGTTTTCATAGCAAGCACATACATCTCAAAAAAGTAGTTTCTTCTTGCAGGGTGTCATATTGTCCTGCCAAATTTCTTCAGAATAATAATAAGTCCTTGTTAAAATTGTAGAGATCCTGACAACAATTATTGTAGAAAGCAACGACTTATAGAACATCCATTAGAAACCACATGCTTGCAAAACAATTGGCAGTCAGGTTCATCTGTGTAGCAACTTCCAATATACATGCAAGGCTGTGCTCTAAGGAAAATTCAACTGAGCCCAGTGCTCTGAAATTGTAAAATCTGGGGTGCCCAGCATATGATCTGTATGAAAAATCTGAGATTTTCTAGTCGCCCAAGGTCAAAAGTTAGGCGCCAGGGGCCACCGGGCTCTGCTAGAGCACAGCCCTGTACATGTGTCATGTGTCGTGTTAAAAAATAAACATTATGACACGTCCTATTCTGCCATTGTGTTTTCAAGAGTGGAGTGAGGTAAAATTTACTGGTATATGAAAGTATAATGTCATTATTTGTTTCACTTTCTAGCTGTGTGTGATCTTCCTGGTGTGGTAACCAAAGTTAGCATTCCCTTTAAAAAGGTAAATTTTTCCATTTGAAAAGTAAGATATTTTTCACTCATTAAAAATGGGTTGAATGTGACAAAAAACGGTTCTTTTCTGTCCATACAATCATTACCACATTATCTCAGGTCACTTAGTTTGACTCGCAATACATTTTTCAGTCATTTCAAACTGATAGAAAAGTCGGGGGTTATAAGTGGGTTTTGCTAAAAGCAGGCCCGCGGCCCAGCGGCCCGCGACGGCCCGGGGGCCCGAAGGCCCACCGGCCCGCGGCCCACGCGGCCCGGTGGCTCAGTCCTGATTTTCCAGTTTTTTTGTCCAGTGTTAAATCCACGCGCATACAATGGACGACGGTGAGTTTGAATTCGTTTACCATTTAATCATTTGAATCCTTGTTTCTGTTTGTTGCATGTTGTTCAGATAAAAACGTTTTCATTCTCTGTTCATTCGTCTCTTTACAGAAACCGATAGCACAATAGAAGACTTTCATTATAGAACGATGTAAGTTATTTTCAAACCATACTTTGAAAGTGAAAATATCATAAGTAATGAGATATGTGAACTGCGAATCGTTCTCTATAAAGAGACATGTCGGTCTGTTTACAGGAACCCCACCCCAAAAGAAGAGCAGGGCAGAGTTTTTCAAACTGTAGTTTGAAAATAACTTAGATCGTTTGAGAATGGACTTCCTCTCTATCGGGTTCTGTAAACAGACGAATAAACAGAGAATGACAACGTTTTTCACTTAGCAACATGCAAAGAAAGAAAGGGTCGAATTGGATTGAAATGATTATTAAAATGGTAATAGAATTCAAACTCACCGTCGTCCATTTTGCACGCCCAAACCCGATGCAGATCTGTGCATGTGCGAGGATTTACCGCTGGACAAAAAGACTGTGGAAAATCAGGACTGGGCCACCGGGCCGCGGGGCCGTCGCGGGCCGTGGGCCGCGGGCCGATGGGCCTTCGGGCCGCTGGGCCGCTGGGCCGTCGCGGGCCGTGGGCCGCGGGCCGCTGGGCCGCGGGCCTGCTTTTAGCAAAACCCGTTATAAGTGCTTGAATCCCAGTGTTACATAAGATGGAAATACACTTAAACCAAGCATGAAAGTAGAGCTGTGAAGTAAATGCTTGAAACATTCACTTCCGTCAGGGCTGTCATTAAGTTTTGAATCAGCCGTAACAAATGAAGATTCACGCTTAACTTCTCTCAAAAATTTATAGTGCCACCATTAGCTTTTCAGTTTGATCACCCGTGACATCAAGTGAGCTCATCCGTAACAGGTGTTACGGGTTACAGCCTTTAATGACAGCTCTGTCTGTGACAAAAACTTGAACCAATGATCTAAATATAATTCAAAATTCAAATTTATGTGACCTCAAGCTATAATTTATTGTGTTGATGGTACTGGTTCTTTCTTAAGTCCATACAGGAATTACTCCCCCATGCATTTACATTTAATTCCCTTTTGACAGAGCTACCATGTATTTTACGCTGAATATATGTGACCTTCTTTGGGAAAACGTACACTAACGATATTTCGTTATCGTTAGAAAACTAACGGATAGCTAACGGATAGCTAACGGCTTTTCTAACGTTCTAACGGTTTGTCCAAACGTTCTAACGGTTTGTTCTGACGTTCTAACGATTTGTCCAAACGCTCTAACGATTTGTTCTAACGCTCTAACGGTTCGTTCTAACGCTCTAACGATTTGTTCTAACGCTCTAACAGTTGAATTGGTGGAAGTAATCGAGCGCTATTCCCTATTAAGCAATCTATTAACGGCTGGTTAGTTCATCTTGTTGTTATCAATGTATTGAGCGAAAGTTTTAAGTACAGCTGTCGATCGATAAACGGCTGAAAATTGAAAGCATCAAAATCACTAGTGATGTGATCAACGAGTAAAATAATAATCGAAATCGACTTGCTCTCGAAACGACTGCGCTTCAAAACAGGCCGTCCAATTTCTCCTGGAATGAAACTTCTACTGCATCGTATTGACAAGAACTACTGTTTGCAAACACGTATCTTGACTTGGGACTGTAATGTTTCCAAAAACTATATCAAGCAAGCCCCTCGATGTCTGATGAAAGTTTTTCAACAAGATGCCAGTGACGCTTTCAGAAACAACTTTATGCAAATTTCGGTTGAAATTTGACTCCCGGAATTTGAATACGCAGTGAAGCGTTTTTGTGACGGACAACACATGAATAAAAGCTGTATTGAATGATTGTAGACTTTTTAATTACTAGAGAGCCTCAGTTATTTAGGACTACAAATCAAATGGAAAAAAAATTAAAATCCCAAACCTTTCCCAGCCCATGCCTCTGTTCAATATCAGCATAAAAAGCAACTCGCGTGTTCATTAATCTTTTTTATTATCGACATTGTTCTAAAACGATTACAATCTGTCCTCTAGAAAAAAAAATTCAACGTTGAAAATAAATCCTAAAAAACGCTTACAAAGTTCTTTTTGCACAATTCTTCCTTAGTTTGCCCTTTTAGCATACTTGATAGCACGACATCTATCATTGATCTTGGCTTTGATTTGTTTCCACAGTTTATCTCTTTCTGTAGTACATTCAACTGGAAATTTACTGAAAACTAAAACTCTTAGAGAATTCAGCTTGCTGCTGTCGAGCGGATGTTTACCGTGGGTCCCATCAGTATTGCTTCCTTTGAGTTCTTCATCACTAAAGAAGTATGGGAGCAGCTTTACTGCGCATCTATGCCTCTCCTTTTCTTTCTGTAATGTTGCATATACGCTTTGCACTTTTCTTGGAGTGACGCAAGTCCGAATTACATCTTCTCCCACCGGGATTTCAGGTCTTTCCATGATACTGTCAGCATTTACGGGCCATGATGGTGTTTCTGGGGTAGCAGGGCCTGCTGGCGTAGCTGGGATGCTGGCGTTGACTTCGTCGTGTTGTAAAGTTGCCGTGGTATCCATGTCAATCGTCAAAAGTTCTTGATTCGACAACAGGCCGGAAGAGTTGTAGGTCTCTTCACTCCTGAACTATAGGAAAAAAAAGAAAAAGAATCGTAACTATTGTGTTTCCCGTATTCCAAAGCCCATTTATTCGAACTGAGCTGCATTCACAAGGACAAAAGGAAAATAATGCTTACACGGTACGTTAGTTTGAAATAGGCGTTTCCGAGAGGCCAAACTTATTGTGTACTAAATTCCAAGTTTTAGGCCCGGCGTCTAGCTGAGCAGTAACTCTTTCTCAGCTGTAATTTGACTTATGCCGAGCGCACTGAATAATTTTTCTACATTTTTTAAAAACTGTGCACTAAAGGAAGTAGCTACAATATGCCTTAGCGAGGTTCAACTTTTACGTTTATGCTTGACCTTCATACATTGTCTCTATTTCATTCACACACGTAAAAATTACGCGACAGTGGAAATCCAGCTTAAGCCTTATTATTTAACTTACCACGGTCTCTAAAGATTCTAGCCGTTGCTCGATCCGTGATAACCTGCGCCCCAAGGTCTCCCCCAATGTGACAAGAGAATCTTCGAATCTGTCCATCATCTTAAGTCAAAATAAATAAATGCATAAATATAGACACACTTCCAGCAACGATACAAACTGCATTTAATGCTTTGTTTAAATTATGCCTTTCTTTCGTTTGATTTGCGGCCCATACAAGTTTGGTTGTATTCTGCTGACAAGTAAAGCACAGATCGGTCAATGGTTTTGCCACAACAACGTTTGGACAAAACTGCTGCCAAAGATCGACGAATTTGCTGTAGCTAACGGATTGTTCGCCAGAAGTCTCGCAAGTGGCAGTGTACACACGCCAAACACTCATTTTTGTTTCGCTTGAAGACAACACCTTTACATCCTCGGACTTGAATCCAGGTATTCTTCCAGGTAGAACAAATGCGTTCTCTTCTACGTAATTAGTTAGAAAATTATGAACGTTCTCTGTGGTTGACTGGGGAAGAGTGTTACTGGGAAGCCTTTTGGTGTTTCCATGGGTTCGCGGATAGATACCATGCGTCTCGTAATGTTCCTTGAGTCGACGAAGTCGAGAATAACTTATACCATAAAGGTGAAGAAACATCTCTTTGCAAATCAGGACAGACTGAAACTGATACGTGCATCTTGAAGTTCCGTTTCTCTTAGTTCCAACGTAGTCGTTGCGTGTGAAAGCTTGTATGTTGGCTAAAATTATCAAGTCGAGCTCTCCACTTGTCAACTCGAGACAGTTATTGAGATTAAATAGCACCGTTTCTTCTCTAAATTCTCTTGAACAGGGACCCCCTTTCGAACCAGGCGAACATCCACAGCCTTCACGTAGGAATTTTTTAGCTCTCTCGATTACCGCGTTAGGAGTTTCTTCTCTCACTATACTTTCGGTGTCTGCCATACTTTGTCACTTTCGTGTAATGCACGCGAGTAAACAAGTGCACGCCAGTTAAAGCATCATTTGTTGTCATGGAAATTATACATTTGCGTGCCGATTCCGCTTGGGACTTGGGGACAGTTTTGTTGTTTATTGAACACGAGCTGCAGTGATATTGCGATATTCTCTTATCTATTTTTTGTCTCTTTCTGTCGCCGCTTTAAGCCCAGACGAGCGGCTCCCACATTACATTAAAGCGGCATTCAATCGAAATTAAGTTTTAGGACGGTTACATATACTTGGCAAAGTCTGCCACACAGCCACAGCCATTCTTTGTGTTGAGCGTTGCGTGACGACACAAAGAACTGTTGTGTAGCAGAACGAAAAGTTGTTTTATTTCGTTTAAGTCTATCTTTTAAAAAGTACCAAAAAAGGAGAAGGACATAGATACAACCTGAATAAATGATCTAAGAAATCTCCGAGTCAACTGAGTGTACCGTTCGTATCGAGATCGAAAACGGAACAATCTGATCAATAGTTGTAGATGCAAGAAAAATTTGCATATATCATGTGTAATTTCAATTAACCAACAATGGATCTTGCTTGCTTGCATCTTTTCATTTAAAAATACACACAACAGTAACGTTTCTAAAGGCAAAAAGACGGGAAGAAGGTCATGACTTTTATACCGAAGGTTTTCCTGCAACCATTCAATTCATTCGAGATCAATTAGCGGAAGTCTGCAGAGAAGCGGATTTCAAGACGTGTGCTTGTTTGTTTACTTCTTATCGTCGGTATCTTTTGCCTACAGCCGACGACCAAGCATTTTGATATTAATTTTTCGTTTCAAAAGCGAGAACGGGTAGGGAATTGTGTCGCTCGCTCACTGGACGTTGGGAAACGGGTTTGGCAAGAATCACTAGTTTCAGGTGCCCGATGCGGGCTCCTTGTTTATAATTTCGTCGCCCGCGGGCGAATAAAATTAATCGTAGAAACCTCTGACGACAGGGCGCCCATAAGGCAGCGGCCTTGATCAGCAAAGCAATAGAATCGTCAGTTAACGCTTTAGTTTCCTGGACTAACGCTCTAACGGATACAACTAACGCTCTAACGAATATACATGAGTTGCTAACGAATTGACTAACACCTCTAACGGATACAACTAACGCTCTAACGGCTACGGATGAGTTGCTAACGAATTGCCTAACGCCTCTAACGATTTTCATTGAATCATCTAACGGATGACTAACGGACAGCTAACGGTCTAACCGTTTAACGAAATATCGTTAGTGTACGTTTTCCCAAAGAAGGTCACATATTTAACTTTTACAAGTGGTTAGAATTGTTTTATTTTCTAAGCATCTAATTTATTAACTTGTCATTGTTTCTTTATGTTACAGTTTCAATTTTTGTTTTGTCTTCTAGAGTTTTGCTTTTGTGACTCTCTCTAGCCCTGTGGCAGTGAAATGCTTGCTGGGAAATGTAAGTATTTGTGAAAAAAATGTGAATTTCTACCAGGGATATTAAATATTTTATGATGTGCCCTCAAGTTGTGAATATATGATATTTGGAAGTTGCTGGACTTGTTTGTAGCCATGCTGGACTGACAGTCTACATTACTCTTTACAATAACTGAGCGAATCCTCGTGCACTGATTAGTCGAGAGCTATGGTCTATGAGAGTATAGACCTTGGAAATGACATAACATGTCATGCAGTGCCAGTTGTTTTATTTTTGGTTTTTGGTAAAAAAATAAACATCATTGTGAAAAACAAATCGACCACAATTTCCCAAGGTGTACACTCTTACAGACCATAGAAATGATGCCATAAAATGTTCAAAACTTTGCAGTGAAACCACTTGCCTGCAGTTCGTGGTTCCACTTGAGTTTGAACATTTTATGACGTAATTTCTATTGTCTATTTAACAAATAGACTATGGAGATGATCTAACATGTCACACAGTGCTGGTTTTTTTGTTTTTGGTTTTTTGTAAAAAAATAAATGTTATTTTAAAAAACAAATCGACCACAATTTTCCATGGTCTAGACTCTTATAGACCATAGAAATGACACAATAAAATGTTCAAAACTTTGCATTGAAACGACTCGCATGTGGCTTGTGGTTCCACTTAAGTTTTGAACATTTTATGGTGTCATTTCTATGGTCTATTAGAGTGTAGACCATAGAAAATTGTGGTCGATTTGTTAATTCTGCAGCAAGTGTAAATCTTTGTAAAAGCCTCCAGAGTAACAGAGAATAAGAATTAATGGATGATGATGCCATTGATCAGCCAAAGGTCGGATTTTTATATCTTTTAAAACTAACAGCAGTTCAAGGCCTCATTTGATCATTTTAATTTTTCAGTTACAGCAGAATAAACAGATGAACCTTAAACTAACCCCTCCTGTCTACAACTGCATTCTTTTCACCAGAGGCTCCACTAGCTTTTGTCCTTGGAGCCAAACAGTCAAAGGTTCACTCTTGCTTTAACCCGTCCATAAATGGGAATAGAGATTGGCTGAACTGGATGTCAATCAAATTACCTCAGGGGGTAATTTTAATAACTTTCATGAATCAAAATAGGTCAAAGCAGTAACAATCAGGAATTGAAAATGAATGTGACAGCTGTTAATAGTTAACACCAATCTGAAAAATACAACCCCTGTAGATAAAATATGTGGTGAACTTCTGTACCATTTTTAGAATATCCCTCTAGAATATCCAGAATGCGGTGGGCTCAATTTCGCTTAATTATGTTAAATCTCTGGGGGGTCCTTTCTTAAAAGCAAGGGAGAATGTGTGGTTCCAGAAAATATCCATACTCCACCACGGAGGGAATTTCACTTAGGACCCCCCCACCTCCCTGAATTTTCCATATTTCTAAGGAACTAATGACCCCCCACCCCACCCCTTCAGAATTTCCACAAAGTAAGACAAAGACCCCCAAACCCCTCTGGAAAGTTTATTTTCACGAAAAAAGATTATCAAAGTAAAGAATGATGCAGTTTGTGGTTATGCAATGTATGGTTTTTATTTAATTTTATTGAGCGGTCTCGAATTAGAACACAGTAAACTACCAACAAAGCAACCTAAACTACAAAATATTGCTTATCCTTTTAAATGAAAGAGATAAAGTTGTATCTGTCAGTTTACCTTGGTGTGCCAGCTTACGTTTTTTTTTCCAAATGTAACGGCAGGTATCTGTCACCATGGCCGTAATGTTGATGGAATTAACCTGAATTAACGCCATTTGAGCGTGAATACGATCGTGAACATGTCAAACTTTCAACCACAAAATGAAGAAAAAATGAAAAGGAGATTAAAAACTCTAGATGCTGAAATCGTCACATCGTATACCTTCTGCTTGTGCTGCGAAACTTTCGCTGATGTACTGCTTTTCTATTGACTGACACGACGCGGATATTGAAGAAACATAGCTAGTCGCCAGTGCTTTTGTACCGAAACTATGTAACCACACTTTTATGCGTTTATGTCTCTATGGAGACTGGTAATAAGTAATGGCAGTCAATATCACGCACGCAACAAGTATAGTTTTTGTCGGCCTAATAGGGACCTAATTCCTTTGGATTCACATACATAATGTTTTTAGAAGCAAGGAAACCTGGTTTAGTTTTATACAGTGAAACCTCCATTAAGCAGACACCTTTGGGACCTTCCCAAGTGTCCAAGAGGGTGTTTGCTGAATGGAGGTTGTAAAAATTGCGCAATGTTTGTTAACGATCAACAATCAATGGTTAATCTGTACTGTGATAAAGTTGCATGTTGTTAAAGAAGCTATTCAGAGTTCAAGTTCATTACCTTTCATTACCAACTTTAATTTGTTCGTAAATGTAAAAACATTAACTGACTTCAGCATGAATTTCAAGGACGTAATCCAATACTACTATTGTCAATTCAGTCCGGTGTCCACTTAATAGAGGTTTTTAACAATAGAAATTAGCCAAATACAGCTTATTTTAGTGTCCACTTCCACTTAATAGAGGTGTCCACTGAATTCTGAATAGGGGTTCATTATAAAGGGAAATATTTAGCAATTAATGAATTTGGCTGAGTAGGATATGAAGAATTAAGCAGATCGAGCAGTGTGTTATCCACAGAGGCGGAGGCCGAGGTGGATAACACCCCTCTGAGATCTGCTTAATTCTTCATATCCTACGAAAGCCAAATTCATTAATTGCTTTATTATTCATTCAAAATAATGCTAGTTTAAAAGCATAGCTAAAACATGCTTACCTGCATTGATGTTAAGTTTATCTTCGATAGCGTACGTTTAGGTCTGTCCAGCTCCACAAATATTCTCCAAATAGCAGATGTCACCAGGTCTGAGTTGTCTTCTTGCTGTTTTAGCTATGTTTTTAGCCATTATTTCGCCTAGTTCCAGCTGTAGTTCTTACTCTTAAAACGAGTGAAGTGTCCACCATTTTTTAAAGAACTTAACCTTGCCCCCAGGTCTTCTCGGTTAACGGTGCATTAACCTGTAGACAGCTGCATTTTTGACGTCTGATGACCAAATTTGGAAGAATTTGGTCATCAGTAACTGGTTATGGTGAATTATGCGTGTGCTTTTAACCAATCAGAATTGGGTAAATATTTTGAATGAATAATAAAAGACGTTAATTTCGGGACCTGGCTAAGTGTCGACGTAATAGAGGGTGTCCACTTAATTGGGGGTCCTCTTAATAGAGGTCTCACTGTAGTTAAACTTATTTATGTCTTCAAAAATGATCTACCAGATCAGTAAGTAGCAATTTTCGTACTGAGTTCGAAATTAATCCCCTTGGAAAGTGATTTTTATCGTCTAACCCCCCTCCTCTCTGGAATTTCCTGGGCCTCAGACCCCCCTCCACCTCCTCTGAATTTCCAATTCCCTTCGTGGTGGGGTATGAATATTTTCTGGAACCACACGGTTAAGCGGCTGGCTTGAAATCTTCCGAGATTTCTCAAAATGGACCATACCCCCTTGGAGGAGAGATGAAAGTTTGAGAGACATTAATACCAAAGAACCTTTATTCACTTTGTTGGATTCACACCAATTATTGGAAATTTACAGCCACATGTATTTATTAGATTTTCAGTCATTGGTGAATTTGTTGTTTTTAGACACTACTGTACTGTGATGGTGTTGGACAGGTTTACCATGTCCAGGCATGCCCTTATGTTAGAAAGCCATCCAGAAACATCCAGGATTGTAAACCCAAAAAGACAGAACATGCACCTCCTACAATTAAAGTGGAATCCAAACCACCAAAGTATAAACCTCCAGAACATGTCATTCAGTTTAGTCCTGACTTCAGTATGCTCTTACACTCAAAGCCAAAGAGAAGGAGGAAGAGAAAGGGAGATGATTCATTTGTGTGGCTTGGTGATGTTGGCACAACTTCATTTAGAAAGAGACCAAAGCACAAAAAAAAGAAAAAGAAGGTTGGTGTCATGATTAAAGTAAGTTTTAAAACAACAGCAACAACAGTTTATTCAGTTTTGTAAAATTAATAATTGAGGACTATGTTACCCACAATTAGTGGAGCTATTTGTATAAATAACTGCAAAGTTCAGGGTTCAAAAGTCGGAAAAAAAGAAAGTAAAAATGTCAAGAGACAAAGCAAAAACAAAGTGAAATTAAATAAATATTAAATAAAATCTAGCATAATGATATTGGAAATAATAGTAGTAAACGGTAAAAACGGTAAAACTATTACAAGTATGATACTAAAATGGATATAATGAGGGGAACACTTGACCTGAATAAGGAGTTCAGGTAGGAACTGGTAATGGCACTCATATCAACATACAACTCCTCAGTCTCCAAAACCTTGACCAAAATAACTTATGTTATTTGCTCTTGAAAGGGTCTTTGCACCGTCACATAACGTAAGAGGAATTTTGTTCCAAATTCTTTCACCACTTCTAGTAAAAGATAATAATAGTTGACTGAGTCTAGATCTCTGGACATGAAAATTACCTCCAGCAGAAAATCTGGTATAATGAGAGTGGATCTGGTTAGAGCGGATGAACAAATCAGAAATTTGGAAGGAGCCCACACTTTGTTATTGTTTAGTTGCTGTAGACATATGTTATCAACACTTGATTACAATTTCCTTTTTTTTAAAAAAAAAAAAAAAAAAGATATGCCAGTTATTGTGATGTATTAGACCTTGAAAGGCCTTGCTGAGACATTGAATGTTAAATTGAACCAATCAGAGTTCAGAGAATTTAGTGCAAAAAACCAGATTCTGTCTAAGTCACTGTTTTAGCTCTTTACACACCCGGTGTAATTGAGTCTGCTATAAACCCTTCCATTTGAAAAATATATTTCTCAATTAATAAAGAATTTTGCAAAATAAAAATTACACAGGTCTATCAAGCACGAACTGAGTTCTCCGAAAATTGATATCCGAGGGGTCAATTTTCACACCTTAAGTGTGATTTCTGATTGGATACCAACTTTGGCCTTCATTTTATTGGCTTCTATTTAATGAAAATGCGCATTTTTGGTATTTGATTTCAGTTTACGATTGTATTTTAAATAAGGATTTTATAAGCATAATTTATTTTTGACTTTATAGCAGTTCTAACACTTTAATCTCAGTCAAATTTACTGATTGAGTCTTAGTTCATTATAGTCTTCATTATCTTCAGTAAACGGGATGAGGTTTACAAAACCCAAAGCCCTTACATTTTCTATAAATTCGACCTTCTTAATACACAGTCATGTTAACCCTTTACGGTCAACCAATTTTTAGAGAGAAAACCGCATTTTGGACTAAATCCTCCCTAGTGTTTTTCAGCCATGGGAATGGCTAAAATAGACATTTCCAACCCTGAGGACATAATTTTCTGCTAATTGGATGTAATTAAGCACCTCTTTTGTTTTTTGCACATGCGCATACACCAAAATTTGGACTTTTTTGCTAATCTATTTCGATTTTTTTTCACTCCCTTCTTGTTCCCTTTGCCTTTCTTTTTATAGCCAGTTTTGTCACCCACGTTATGGTCTTTCTTTTTTCCATGAATTTTTGGCTGGCTTTTTTTCCAACAAAGGGACAAATTTAATCTGTAAAGAGTAGTAGGTAAATAGCAAAATTGGCAGTGGATTTTTCCCCAAATGTTGCTTGTTCAGGACTGGTCAAGAAAATTTGCTAAATAAGGTACCAGTGGAAAGATCTATCCTCACTAATTTTGGTAATTACCATCTTGGAAAGCTTAATGGGTCCAGGAAGGAATAATATGCGTGGGTTCATATTGACCAAAAAAGACCAAAGTGGATGTCAAAGAGTTAAATTGACTCAATAGAAACTTTCCGTGGTTGCCTAAGTGTTCTCAAACGTGGGGTTAACTGAACTAAAAATGAAAATTGCACTGAAAACTGATAATATTATTTGTATCTCCCTTTCAGGCATCCAAAGTGGAATTTCATAAAAGTGAGACTTTTCAATTTGGAAATGTAAATCCTATCAAGGACCCCACCATTGCTAACACTGTTGACTGTAACAGCCCAAAAGAAGCTGTTAATTCATTGGTGCTTGTCAATGACCATGAATTGGGCAAAGCAAAGGAAATGGTTCCAGCAGAAGAGGAGCAAAAGTCTTCAAGTATGATCAGGTGAGCCAAAACTAGTTTGTTTTTCCACTGAGTGCATAATAACAGTTTGTTCTTCTTTTTATCACAGGTTCACAATACATGTACAAGAATGTTCTAGTCAGATATTGCAGGGCTGTCATTAAGGGGTGGGGGCCGGGACTTCCCCAGCTACTATGAACGTGACCCCTGGCTTCTTTCATAGGAAAATTGAAGAAAATTAGAACCAAAAGAAATCTCTAGCTGTTTTATGCCCCGTCTTCTTGTTGTATTTACGTGGCAACTTGAAATCAACAGCATGTTGTAAAAGGAACTAATGATGTGCACTTTTCATTTCAGTGGCCTGTTGTGTTACAGTAAAAACATCTGTAACCAGTTTAGTTAAGCTTATCATAACACAGTTGTGAGCAAATACAGTACTGTATAAAATTTTTTACATCCAAACCTAAGTTTTTCTGGTAGTTAACAACTATATCTCCCTCACGGCCGAAATTGAGAACATAATGAAGAACCTACTTAGCTTAAATTGCCAATAACTACCCCAAAAAACAAGAACCTTAATTTTTGCCAGACTTAAAAACATGTAGGTTCTTGCACGTGGGTTTTGACTGTATTATTATGTAGCGTATATGAAGGCTTTTTCAAAAAAGATGAAATCAGGCTGTTGATCACAAAAATTTTTGTTGGCTTTATGCAGCTCACCCTTGCAAGTTGTTGTTGACCATGACTACCTTGGACCACTGTGCTTGCAGTTTACTGGCTTGCCAGCGGTTGCTGATGTAAAAAATGAGATAATGGAGCGGCATGGACTACCAGTAAAAGATCAGACACTTCACTTTGATGGCAAAAAGGTACTGGTAATTGTGTTAAAAAGGAAATTTAATTAAGTTGTAATCAACAGACTGCAGACAAACTACTTTCTGAAAACCTTTAAACATTCTTAAAATGTATGGATATGTCCACATGTCACTTTAGATAAGAAAAAATTCATAAGCTTATTTGATTATTGCTGTCCAGAAGAGAAGATTATTGTGCAAAAATCCATTTAGAATTGTTGACGTGTTGATGGAAGCTGCAAACATGCAAGTCTGCATGCAACTTTTAAGATTGGATTTCCCCATGACTTCACTGTATGCTCAGCCTATAAGCCTTTTACAAACAACTAAAACCACTTTTAGTTTTTAGTTCGTTGTATTAACTTTGCCACTGACACCTGTACAAGAGAAGTTGATTGAAAATTGTGGTCGGGACACTGTCAATGGATTGTAGTCTGTTATTATAACTTGTCAATGGGTTGTAGTCTGTTATTGTAACTTGTGATATATTTTTTTCCAGTTGTGTGACACATTTCTCCTGAGGCCTGTCCTTAATAACACTGATGACTGTTTGACCTTAACACTGTCTGTTGGCTCCCTTAAAGGTGGAGGTAAGAATAAAGTGTTATGAACAATTTAAAATGTTTCAGGTGGAACAACTGCCGGTACTCAGCTCTTATTTAGGTTTAATCCTTTGTAACTTCAAACCTTCAGAATTTTAAAAACACATTTCCAAGTACAATTATTTTAGGTGTTACTTTCTTTAAATGAGCGTATGGGAGCGTACACTTCAGCGTCGTGGTTGTGGATTAATTGTGAATGCAGAGGAATAGTAAGAAAGTGATATTCTTCCGGATACCCCTCCATACAAATACCCTTACGTTTCTCCTTTTGTGTAACAGACGTCTTACCTTCTTAGCTGTAACCCAATTCGATTATAATTTCTGTCATAAATAAGTTGCGCACGACGAGAACTCAGTTCCACTTCCTTTATTTCCTCTATAACAACACTTTCCTTATGGACGGTGAACTCCACACCTTCTCCAGCAACGTAACTAACATCACTACACTCCCGTACCAAACTTGCTGAAAATGCACAATCTCCACACCGAGGATAATTCATGTACAACATCGCAACATAAACTAGAAATACGTATCTCGCAATAACCCTTGCAAAACTCGGTATTTTAGTTGCGCCACTCAAGTTAAACCCTGTCGGGTGGGGTTTGGAACTGGATGGGTAACCCACCTTTAACCCATTCGCTCCTGGCGATTTTGCCGAAAAACGCGTTTTGAAGCTAGTCGAGTGGTTTTCTGGTCACTGTCGTGCTATAAAGAGCTAAAACTTACCACAAACCGGTTTACAGGTCGTACACTTTGCGGCCTTCTGATCCAGATGCAAAATATCAGCTTGCGAAGTTCGGGCATGCGCAGAAAGCATGGGTTTAAAAGTGACACAGCAGTCTTGACTTTTACTTTTCGCTTTTCTTGCCTCATTTTTTTTTCTCTTGCTGGGCATTTAGTAGGCTTTATTTTGGTGGGAAGAGTTTTTAGGAAAGCTTTTAGGATCTTAGGATTAGGTGAAAGGAAAGGTAGGTTGGTAATGGAACAAGATTTTCATGGAGATTTTCAGGTCAATGTCACGTGGTTTTTTGCTTCTTTCTCCGGTGTCCTTGACTGAATTGCGCTCATTCTGGTATGGTTTGAAAGATCTCTTCTCTCTGCACAAGTTAGCGAAGAAAGATGTCCTTGACCGTTAAAACTGATGACGTCACAAAGGGTAGAAAAGACCTGGATCCGCACGGGCGGTTACGGGCGGTTCAGGGGCGAATGGGTTAATATAGTCGTGAAGGTTCAGGGCGGAAAAACGTAATGAGCATGCGTGAACTTTTTTGCCCAAATCCCCTGGCCGGGTTTGAAAAAATGGGGAGATTTCAAATATTTTGTGCCTAAAAATAAAATGTTTCCACTCATTACCTGGAAAGTACAAGCAATTTCTTCCAAAGTTGCAAGCTGTGGTTATAACCTTCTCAGTACTTAATTTTCTCGAAGAATACCTCATAGTATAGTAAAACGGACTTTAACGACATTAATTTCCTTGCTTTGTACTGGAAATGTGCTTGCGTGGGTCCGATTTTTTTCAAGATGCATTCACAAAATCTGTTCATATAAGGACGTTCCTGGATATAAGGTCCGGAGCCCCACTGTGGACACAAAAACAAAATATCTTTGTCGCACTCGAAGTGGTATTTTAATACACGCGCTCGATCGTACACTTCTAGCTTCGCAGATCACTGAAATATAAATAAAACCTCAATGTAGAGGTATTGGCGTTGATATAAGTTCAGAAAAAGAGTCCATCTTTTTCTAGCAAAATCTTCCCCAAAATCGGTTTCAAACCAACTATAGTTTTGTAAACTTGATTGTTT